GTAGTTCAGAGAACAAAATTGGTCCAGTAAGGACTGATAATCAGAAAGCAGAAGAGGGCAGCTAAGATCCAGGTCCAACCAAATTCTGTGCAGGAGTTTGGTCCTGTTGTTAACCAGATCTCCAGGTTTTTGTTTTTTAGAGAGAAACCAGATTCTTACATAATTACTCCAGATTTTAAATGTTGGCATTTAATCTATTTTAACATTATGCAATCCTAACAACACACAGCCATGAGCTTTGACTTGTTGACCTAGGCTCTAGCTCATAGGACCTTACATTTTAGAAGTTTAATAAATATTCACTGAGCATCTTCTTCATGTTCATGTTCCATGCTCCTCCAGGTACCTATGGAAGGTACCAGAGACACTAAGATAAATACAATCCAGCAGTTTTCCTTGAGGAGCTCACACTTGAGTGACCAAAATGTGCAGGACACAAATACTTATGATCTAGTAGAAGAAAATGGAATTAGTCATGTAATCTCACAGGCATTTAATTACAAATTGTGATGAGTGCTGTAGAAGGAAAATAATGTGTATCAGAATTGGAGATAAAGGTAGAAGTGAACTGATATTCAAGGTGACGTCTGAAGGATGAACACATATTTACCAAAAGGAAGAAGGGAGGAAGATCATTCTAGGCATAGGGAATGGCATCTGCAAAGACCCTGAGGTAGGATAGAAGTTGGATGTCTGGGGAACTGACAGGGGACCCAGGGGACAAGGAGCCCACAGTTAACAAGGGAAAAGACATATGATAAGACTGAAGAGGGAAGTAGAGGTAAATCATACATGGACTTGTGGTCCACATTAAAGACTTTATGCAAGAAGTAAATCTAGATATACCTACTCAACTTATGGTTTCCATGCTCAGAACCTCATGAGGTACATTGCACATCACTGTAGTACCTGAATCCTTCATTGCTAATGAATGGATGTGCCTTATTTTCCACTCCCACCTGGAGAATCCAAACATATGCTGATGCCATGAAAACTCATGCAAAGTGTTTTGAGTGGAATAGATTTTCCACAGTTGGGATGGGGAAAGGTACAGTTAAAGAAGAGAAGCTGACATTGCTGAAATGTAAAAAATATTTTATATGGAAATTTAGCATCTCAGACTTTGGCTTCTGAACATAAGGAACCAGAGTTTCTTACCAACTAGACAGGCAGACAAAACATATAAAACAGAAGTTTTCAGACATCAAATGACAGACAACTCAAGACAGTGAAAGAAGAATAACAAACCAGGTGTGCCCTATGAGTGCCTAAGCTTACTGCCTGAAGAGAGTTTCCAGGGAACAGCACAAGCAGGGAGAACCCAGATAGAGTCTCTATGGGTGAGGAAACAGAGTTTGGACTTCAGAGAAGCCTAAGTGACTGAATTTGTGATTTGTAGGGCAGAGTCCTGGAGAGGACAGTATAATCACAAAGAAAGAGCTCTTGAGAATCTACAGAGAGGTTTTGTCAAGTTGAATACTGATCTGCACATATATGTGAGGAAAGTACTGAGGGTAAGAAAAATGTCATTTGAAAGGAACAGTTGGAACAGTCCCTGGACCTTACGCAGGGCCAGTAACCATTTATGTTCCTACCATCAAACACAGAAAGACTTCCTAATAAATGAGCAGTGGATAGAATTCTCAGAAGGATTTAGAAAGAGTAGGTGGATAAAATTAGACTGCAGGCTGCTGAGGAGGCAACGGAATAAAAAATAAGATTTGAAAGAATCAAGTTGATTTCAAGTATCTTAACTGTGAATAAAACTCAATACTAGTTAACAAGAATGCAACAAACAACAATGTAAATTCACAATGTTAATAAAAATAAACAAGTATTAGAAGAAGCAGAAAGAGATGACTCATAACCAAGAAAAAACAGATTTAGAAGTGAAAGAGAAAATAGAAGCAGCAGGCAGAGACAGTGGGACAGCTATCATAAATCTTCCCAATATATTCCAGAAAACAGAGAAAAGCATGAGCATGATGAAGAGATAGAGAATATAAATATGCATACACAGAACTTCTGTAGATGAATACAATTGCTGACATGAAAAGTAAAACAATAAAGGATAGAAAATAAAGGTAAAAAATAAAGGATAAAAAATTATATATTGTAAACTGAAGGACAACACTAATACAACAAACACTGAATGAAATTAATAGCACATTAGACACTGTGAAAGGAAATGGTAGAAAATATTAACACATCGCAATAGAAACTGTGCAAAATGAAATACGGAGAGTAAAAAGGTTGAAGAAAGTGAACAGAGCATCAGTGAACTGTGGGACCATATCAAGTGATCTAACATATGTGTAATTGGATCTCAGAAGTAGCAGGAACAGAAAAAGTATTTGAAGAAATAATGACTGAAAACTGCCCAAATGTAATGAAAACTACAAACCAACAGATTCAAGAGGTTTGACAAAACTAAGAAGGAACATGAAGAAAACCACATCAAGCCACATCACAATCAAGTTGCTGGAAACCAGTGATAAAGAGAAAATATTAGAAGCAGTGAGGGATAAAAAGACACATCATATACAGGGGAACAAAATGAAGAAATGATAGCAGACTTATCATTAGAAACTATGCAAACCAGAAGACAATTAGGGACATCTTTAAAGTGTTGGGAGGGTGGAGGATAGGGGAATCTGTCTATTTAGTATTCTATACCAAGCAAAAAAAACCTTTTTAACATGAAAGCAAAATGAAGAGCGCTTTAGACATACAAATGCAGAAATAATTTCTCACTAGTACAGCTGAAAAAAAATGCTAAAGGAACTCCTTTAGATAGAAGAAATATTATATCAGAGAGACATTTAGATTCATAAGAAGGAATGAAAAGTTCCAGAAGTTGATAAACATAGAGAAATTTTTTTCTCATTTTAATCTATTAAAAAGGCAATTGATTATCTAAATGTTAAAGCAAAAATAGTAACAATTAATTGTGGGGCATATTATGTATATATAAATAAAATGTATGACAATAGCACAAAGGATAGGAGGGAAGAAATGGAAATATAGTATTGCAAAGTTCTTACAAGTGAAATAGTATAATATTATTTGAAGGAAGTCTGTAACAAGTTAAAAATGTATTATATGTTGTAAACTGAAGGGCAGCACTAAGAAAACAAAGCTAATAAGTCAACAATGGAGACTAAACATCATTAAATATACTCAATCCAAAAGAAAATAGAAAGGAAGGGGAAAAGGAATAAAGACCAGGTAGACAAATAGAAAATACATTAAATCCAACTATATAATCAATTACATTAAAAGCAAATGGAAAGAACACTACAAGTAAGAAACAAATAAGATTAAATAAAAAGGAATGCTGAACAGTATGCAGAATTTAAGAAATCCACTTTAAATGAGAGAGACAAAGATAGGTAAAAAATAAAGGATAGAAAATTATATACCATACCAGTTAACACTAATCCAACACAAAAGGGTATATAACGATGATTCCATTGATATGACATTACAGAAAAGCCAAATCACGGTGAAATAAAGCAGATTAGTGGTTGTCTGGGCCCGGAGGGCATTGGCTACAAATGGCATGAGGAAATGTTTTGGAATGATGGAACTCTTCTCTATCTTGATTGGGACTATAGCTATAAGACTGTGTAATTTTTTAAATCAAAGCTCAGCAAATACTATACTTAAAACTGGTAAATGTTATTATATGCAAATTATACCTCAATAAAGATAATGAAAGGAAGAAAAGAGGGAAGGAGAATGGGGAAGAGGGAAGGAAGAAGACAAAGAAAGGAAGAAAGGAGAAAAGAAAAGAAACTAGGAAAGTAAAAAGAAAAGAAAGGGAAGAGAAAGGAAGGGGAGGGAAGGCGAGGAAAGGATTAATCATTTCAGTTTTTAAAAATTATAGTTGCTTCAGTAAGAGTAGTTTTTATTGGCCTTTTACGCCATCATGTAAAACATTTCAGGTGTTTTTTGTTTGTTTTTTTTCCCCAGATCCTTGTTGTCTGCCTATATCCACACTGATGTTCTCACCTTCTTCCTTCAAAGAATTTATCAAGTTATTGTACCAAACAAAAATAACTGTATCCCAAAGAGAAATTCTGGCACCAGCTGATGATAGGGAATCTTTCACCTAATTAAATGAGGAATTCCTCAGGCAGAGGAAACTGTCCATTCCACTTGGTGATCTATGGCACTCACCTCTCTCCTTCCTGACCTCACTTGCTCCGTTTTATTATTGAAAACCTCACTCAACCCTCTACACTTCTTTTAATATTGAGCATCTCAGTTCCCTGTCTTCAGTAAGGAAGACCAATTTCTTCATCCTCTCCCACTCCTATCAGTAGGGAAAGTCCAGTATACATGGAGGTGTTAATGATGGGTCTTTGGGGGCACAAAGTACAAAGTAAGACTTGTAAGTTTCAGAGGATGGACACATTTCATATTCATACAAACAACGAGTCTGCATATGGGAGTTAGACGCTGTGGCTCGGGGGAAAAAATTGAGATAATCAGATAGCTAAGATGAAATAAAGAGATAAAACAGAGCTGAGGGTCACAGCAGTCGGAAAGAAGATCTGAAATAACAAAACAAAACAATATATAAACAACTCTGACTATCCTCCCATCTCATGTTAATAGGCTAAGTATGTCTTGTTAAACACCACAAAGAAGATATCACCCATTCTTATATTCTGAGATGTTTTACTGATCAAAGGTGATTCAATTCTCTGATAATATTTAAATAATAATTGTTCAGGTACCCTGGAAAATTAACTTGCTTAACTTTAATTTACAAATAACATTTGTTATTCTTAAGATCACCATGGTAGCAAAGCCTTTGTAACTACATGAGCATAGAAATGGGCATACGTGAATCTTTCCAAATAATAAAAGTTCACTATTGAAGGACATATGCATCTCCAGAGTGCTCATCTTAGCTATCCCCAGATTTGAGAGTGGTGAAAATGCAATCCTCAGAAACTGCCCACATGTCTTGATGGCTCTTACTCCTCCAGGTGCTTCTTACCTTGACCACACATTCCCTGTGGAGAAGATGGATGATGCTGTGGCTCCAGGCCGAGAATACACCTATGAATGGAGTATCAGTGAGGACAGCGGGCCCACCCATGATGACCCTCCATGCCTCACACACATCTATTACTCCCATGAAAATCTAATCGAGGATTTCAACTCTGGACTGATTGGGCCCCTGCTTATCTGTAAAAAAGGTAAGAACACTCCCACCAAAAGTTTCAACAACCAAATGTTGGAATGGTCAGGAGTTCTGTCATGGGACAAAGCTTGGGAACATCTCGGTAACTTCATGTACATCAAGCAGAGGAAGAGGGCACGGATCATTGTTTGACAAGAGAAAAAAATACCTGCTATTTCAGGGTGTGGATCCACCTCTGTTTCTTCTCATTTCTCCTTCATCTCAGTCCTTAAGATTCTCCCAAGCAAATTCCTGTTTGAGAGTGTTTTCTGATGTCATGCTTGTATGATCTGTAACATTTACCTCAAGGCCAAAGTCTTTTAGAAAGTATACAGCAGCCTATACTCTGCTGAAAGAGCTCTTGGAAAGAATATTGGCTAACATATTTGACATATCCAAAATTTGGGCTGGTAATTTGTTCTATAAACATGTTAAATGCCAGCTTCCTTTCTTACAAACAAGTTGAACACTTTGAGTGGTAGGTTTCAAACACACTCAAGTGACTACAAGAACTTTTATTGGCTGGGCTTCTTAGGAGCAAGATTGGATTTTCATTTTATCCCATGAGAATCCAGCCCATCTTTCATTAAAACAAGCAAACAACCACAGCGAGCCACAGCACGGGAAACAACGTGATGGACTCACCATCTGCCTATACCTACACTCAGACCACACCTACATGGCTTCCCAATGTATTTACTCATTATACAAATACTTGTTTTTCATTTCCTAGTATATATAAGATACTGTGATGGTACTGAAAAAAACCTTAAGACTTACGAAAGACTCTTCTTTCATTTTACCATCAGCAGCATGTTTTTCTCATAGTGAGAATGGATTAACGCTGATACTTCCAACCAGTTATCGAATGCCCCCTTTCATATACAAACAAGATGACAGCATTAAACTTGGGGCATGGTGCTTTTACCAACTGAGCTAACGTATCTATATACTGTTCTGTTGAGACTGGAGGAAATGGATACTTGTAGAGAGTCTTGAGAGTCATCAAATGTTTTCTTCCCAAGCTGGACGAAATAAAGCCTGTTCCCCAAAGCAACAAGGTGTCAGAGAAGACAGTGTGGCACCAGATTTTTAATAACCCTAGAACCACTATTACTTAATATGCTATTTTAAAAAGTAAGAATTTCTTCAAGTTGCTGTCATTATGGTTGATCGCTTGCCCTAAACTCTTTGCTATCCAGGAAAGCTAATGAGAGTGTTCTGTCTGCAGTGCTACTGAAAACATGTCTTTCCTTTTACAGGGATCCTAACTGAGGATGGGAAACAGAAGACGTTTGACAAGCAAATCGTGCTACTGTTTGCTGTGTTTGATGAAAGCAAGAGCTGGAGCCAGTCATCATCCCTAATGTACACAGTCAATGGATACGTGAATGGGACAATGCCAGGTAACACGAGGGCTGTGCACCATTGAACAACAGTAAAATCATTAGTAATTTTTCAGTCCTGTTGTTTTCTTCAAAGCACTAGAGAAGTTGACCATACTCACTGTTTTGCAACTCCCTATCAAGAGGGAAATATTTTCTCATCTGTCTTTTAAAAACAGGAAACAGAAGAGACAAATTAGAAGCTAGAGAAGAAATGTGCAGCCTTGTTAGGTATAGTGACCTGAATAGGTTTCACCTTGGCCTGCACTTTGAAAAAGACCTTCAGGGTATCAGCTCAGTCTCTCTCTCCGAGTTCTGCAGTTCCTGCTATGTATGTCCTTCAGGGACAAGCCCTAGCAGGAAAGGTCAGCAGGAAGATTGCAGTAAAGATGAACAGATTAGGAGTAATCCCCAACACACACACAAAAAAAAGACCAGCATTTCAAAAGGCGACAGAAGAGTAATATTCAATGGCGTCTAGAATATTTTCTCTTTCCATTTGCATTTGGGCTCTTATGAGAAGGCAAAATCATAGCAATCATTAAGAGAAAAAATAACTGACTCCCTCTTAGACCACATATCTTCTATTTCTCTCTGGTAGAACTGACCTACAACTAAAGATCCAGGGTATATGATACTAGCCTGAGGGAAAAACATTAAAAAATTATAATGCCGCTTTACTAAATAAACCATATTTCAAAACACTAAACTTCTTAGAGGTTATTCTGTAATGCCATCTAAAAATCACAAATGGCTTCACTTACTAAAACATAAATATTGTTAAGAGTTGAGATCTGGGTAGTGTTTTTAAATTGTATTCTATTTCATTTGACTACATTTTCCACTTGGTTTTCTGAAAATATACTCATATGACTCTCAGTGTTGATCCTGAGTTCCAATACTAGGAGCTTGTAAAAACTGAAGCTTAGTTAACTGACCTCGACCTTAGATAATCTGAGTTCAGACCTCACTCGCTTCTCTACCTTCTGTGGCCCTGGATAATTAGCTGTCTCAATGTGCTTACTTACAAAAGTGGACTAACTATTTATCCTAATATTTATTTCCTGGCAGAGTGAACAATCTGTGTAAGTATAAGGATGCCAAAAAAAGCAAAACCATATGCACAAAACTAAAAATAAATTGATCTGAGCTTAGAGTTTATGAATTTATAGTTCCCAAAAGAATAATTGGGGGTAAATGGGACAGGGTAGGGAAAGACCATCAGTAGAAACTAAGAATAGTAAACATTTGTAAAACCCTCTGCCTTATAAAGCAGAATAAATTGAATACATATGATAAATGCTAACACAGATATGTTAATTGCTGAACTCAATATGAGCATTTATTTGGCATGGATAAATGCTTCTACCAAAGCCTCCTAGTGATGCAAGGAATCCCAGCTTTGTTGCAATGGTCTCCTAAAAAAGACAAGCCTTTGTGTGGGTGAGGAACTGATTCTCAGTGATTACTGATTTCTAGTATCTAGTAATTATGTATCTGAGATGTAAAACAGAAACCTAAAAGCCAAGGATGGAGTCTCCCCACAGAGCAAATGAGCATTTCCCCAGTGACTGTAGGAGCAAAGAAGGAGCAAAACTAAGTTTTTATATTCAGTTATCATTACTCCTTCCATGAAAAGCTCCCAATGGCCCAACATAATGAAGACTTTTACACTGCATTTTAAGGAGAGTATGCAACCCACAAAGTGATTTTGTTGACTTGTCATTAAAACAATCAAAAAGTGAATAAAAATTACAATTGAAAATCCTCACATCATCTTCACATCTTCTTCCCTTTGGCAGAGCTTTGACCACTAGAGCTAGAGAGCTGAGAGGATTAAGTGCTTGAACTCAGCCCTATTGGAGATTCCGGTGATTTGACTCCCTCCAGCCGAGATCAGATTGGGGTGACCAAACATTCCATTTGCCATGGACTTTTTACCAGTTCTAATAGTGAAAGTCCTAAACCTTGAGAAATCCCTCAGAGCAGGACAGTCGGTTACCTTCTTGGCCTAATCCTTTAGCAATCCCTGTGTTTCTGAGTTAACACTCACCATCTCTAGGCTCTGTTGTTACCTGTATAATGCCATTTATCACAATGAGTTGTGACTGCTTGTTTGCTGGTCACTCAGATGTCTGCTTTTGCAGGGCACAAACTACAACTGGAGTGTCTGTTCCCTTGAAGCTTTATTCAATGCCTGACACACAGCAGGTGCTCAATACATTTGGTGAGTGAATGTTTGATCACAGAATACTTGACTGAATGCTTATTTTGGCCTGTGTCTCTCCCTCTCTCTCAGATATAACAGTTTGTGCCCATGACCACATCAGCTGGCATCTGCTGGGAATGAGCTCGGGGCCAGAATTGTTCTCCATTCATTTCAATGGCCAGGTCCTGGAGCAGAACCATCATAAGGTCTCAGCCATCACCCTTGTCAGTGCTACATCCACTACCGCAAATATGACCGTGGGCCCAGAGGGAAAGTGGATCATATCTTCTCTCACCCCAAAACATTTGCAAGGCAAGAAACTCTCCTGACAGTCTTGCTTCTGAATGCAGAATGCTTTCTTCCCAGCACTAACTCTCTCTTTCTCCTTGCCCTTGCAAGCCACCTGCACCCCAGAAAAACTTGCTTTGGTTCCTAACAACCAAATTTAGATACTTTGCTCTTAGATTTATAACTCGCTGTTTGGGGATGGAGAAAGTGAAGGAATTGACAAAGTGTTTTTTTTTTTTTAAATTAAACAAAAGCTGAAGAGGTCTCTAACTTCCTCGAAAGAAGAAAAGAGGAAGGAAACAAAAGCATACATAAAGATATTCTTTCTTGGGGTTACTTCATATGCAGCCAGAGAAAAAGACCTAGATGCTAGCACAAGATAAACTGCAAATTTACAGAAGCACTAAGTTGTAGAAAGTGTAAAAGGTTAGCATGAAAACATTAACCTTTACAGTGGGATGAACACAAAGTCTAGCATGGAGAGGAACTCAATGAATGTGTGTTGAATGGATCATACACGGCATATAAACAGCTGAGGGGTAAGCTCCAAAGAACACCGGTGAATTCAAGTGGGAAAATAAATCAACCCAGATTATGTGGTATCGTGTAAACAGAATAATGGATTGTTCTACTACACATTTTTGCTTTAAAACTGTTGAGAGGAAGGTTCATATAAACAGAGACTAAAATCTAAGGAGATGATATCACTATAGGAAATCATTTTGTTACCAAAATAATGTATAAGAAACATACATAAGGAAGAGATACTTCATGAGATCATTTCTGTTTCTTTTCACACGCAGTAGTCAAAATTATATTCAAAATAATAAAACCATCATGACATCCGTGGAAGACAGAGTTCCCAACAATATTAAAACAACAATGAAACTGTTGTTTCTTTGTTGAAGATAAGTGTGTTATGTATTGTTATTAATATTTAATATTTAACAACAATTTGATTAAGTACTGGTGCTATCTTCATTTTACAGATTAAGGGACAGATGACAGAAAAAATGAGAATTTAACAAGACATAATTCATAGGATTTTAAGAAGTTAAAAATTATAAGAAATTTGCCAGCTCGAGAAGAAATCAAGGGAACCTTTCCATGTTTTTTCCCTAACCCCTCCTCCTTTTCCCCCTTTTAAAAGTCTTGCCTTTTCTGGATGCCACTGAAAGAGTTCCAAACTAAAATGTTCAAAAGTTGCCTGAGCATTACGTTCACTGTTATTATATTAATATAAACCTTATACAAGTTGATTTAAAGGATATGTATTTCCATCAACCATAATTTCTTCTCTCGAGTTATTTCGTTCTCTTTCTGCCCTAACTCAGCTGGGATGCAGGCTTACATTGACATTAAAAACTGCCCAAAGAAAACCAGGAATCCTAAGAAAATAACTCGTGAGCAGAGGCGGCACATGAAAAGGTGGGAATACTTCATTGCTGCAGAGGAAGTCATTTGGGACTATGCACCTGTAATACCAGCGAATATGGACAAGTGAGTTGTTGGGGTTCATACCATTGGGCAAAGGTTCAAGATACATTCCATAGGGTCCTAGATGTTTGGGGATGAAATGTTGTAAGTTGACAGCTCTCAAGGGGGCACATGTATTGGTTTCTATTCAAGTCTTTTTGTAAAGATTAATCTTCAGTTACTCCCAAATCACCAAAGAAATTCAGCCTAATAACAACAGCAGCCACCTCTTGCTGAGTGCTCGCCATTGCCAAGTACTATATTATCCCCTTCTGAGAGCTTCACTTCAACTCTACAAACTAGACACTGCTCTTATTTCTTTTTATAGATGACGAAATGGGTCAGAGAGATTAAGAGATTTGGACATTCAAATAGTGCTTAAACCCTTGAAAAGCTATTCAAATTCACTCATAATAAGAGAAATGCAAATTAAACTTCATGAGAATACTACTTTTATCTATCAGATTCACAAGTCCAGATGACATCATCTGTTGACAAGGCTGTGAGAAATAAGAACAATCATATATTGCTGGTGGAAGATTAAATTGGTAAAGGGATTCTGCAGAATAACTTGGCAATATGTATCAAAATTCTAAATGCATATTCCCTTTGACTCAGCTGTCTCACTCTGGAAATCTAACTATACAGATATACTTGTTCACAGGTGAAATGATGTATGTACAACATATTCACTGTTGCAATGTTAGTAGTAGTAAGACTGGAAACAACTCAAAATGTCCATCAGTAGGAAACTAGTTTAATAAATTATGATACATTCATACAATGGAATACTAGGCATCAAAAAACAGCATGCAAACACTCTCTATGTCCTAACAAAAAAAGTTCTCCAAGCTATGTTATTAAATTACAAAGCCAGGAGGTAGTATAGCGTGTATATATAACTGCCTTTTGTTAAAGGAGTGAAAGGGATAAGAATATTTATATTTTCTTATTTTAAGACATATTTGCATATGTGTACATAAAAGTATTCTGGAATTATACACATAAAATTAATATGTGGCTACCTAGAAAATTCAGGGAGGGTAGGGAGGTCCATCGAGGGTTATCAGAGAAAAGTGAGAGTTTTCACTGTAATAAAAATTATGTGAATGTGTTTTCTATTAAAAAGAATTAAACTAGGAAAAAGAACCAAAAAAAATTTGGCCAAGATTATAGAATTGGTGCCAGAACTGAGATAGAAATCCAGGAGTGTTTGGCAACAGTCAGTGCTTTCCACTGGGCAAAATAAATTCATAAAATGATACTCTATCTTAAAGGATTGCTGGGTTAAATGATATTTCTGACTTTAGGTCTTTGAGGAACTGCCATACTGTCTTCCACAATGGTTGGATTAATTTACATTCCACCAAGAGTGTATAAGTGTTCCTTTTTCTCCATAACCTTGCCGGCATCTGTTGTTTCTTGACTTTTCAACCATCGCCATTCTGACTGTCATGAGATGGCATCTCATTGTGGGTTTTTTTGTTTGTTTGTTTTGTTTGAGACGGAGTCTCACTCTGCTGCCCAGGCTGGAGTGCAGTGGCGCCATCTCGGCTCACTGCAGACTCCGCCTCCCAGGTTCACACCACTCTCCTTCCTCACCCTCCCGAGTAGCTGGGACTACAGGTGCCCGCCACCAGGCCCGGCTAATTTTTTGTATTTTTAGTAGAGACGGGGTTTCACCATGTTAGCCAGGATGATCTGGATCTCCTGACCTCGTGATCCGCCCGCCTTGGCCTCCCAAAGTGCTGGGATTAAAGCGTGAGCCACCGCGCCCGGCCGCATTGTGGTTTTGATTTGCATTTCTCTAATGATCACTGATGTTGAGCTTTTTAAAATATGCTTTTTGGCCGCATGTAGTTGCTTTTGCAAACTAAGGCAATACAGTTGGCAGGGGAAAAGTGGTTCACGTTGCTGCTCCCAAAGTATTTATCCCAGTAGCTACAAAAGACGGGTGAAGGAGGTTGCTTTTCAGTCATCTCCAAGGATTGGCTAGATGGTGGAAGAGATAGCCCAATAGCACAAAACTATGATTAACAATGCTAGTAAATGTTTCTTGGGGTGGGAAGGTGCCTTTAGGGTTTAAGAAATACCTTGAAAACCAAAAAGGCTATCATAAAATAAGTGATAGGAGAGACTTTAGAAAAATTCCTAGTATTTCTTCCAGCCAGTATAGGCCTTTTCCCAGAGATATCAAAGGTCTGCTGTAGTAATGAGAATGACAGGAAGCTCTAAGTAGCTGCTTCTAACCAGTTACCTATGATTTTTATCAGTGATGCAGGAGACAACTCAGAAGTTTCCAGTTTTCCAACTAGACAGAAAACATCAGGACTTTGCAAGCTACACTAAGAAATTTTTAGAGAACTAGCATTTTAGCTAATGTAAGAGCAGAACATCTAAGCACGAGGGTTTCTCCATCCTACCGAGATCTCTATTCGAGAAAGTGGTTTAATTTTTGTTTTAATTTTTATTTCACTTTAAGAAAATACAGGTCTCAGCATTTGGATAATTTCTCAAACCAAATTGGAAAACTTTATAAGAAAGTTATGTACACACAGTACGAAGATGAGTCCTTCACCAAACGTACAGTGAATCCCAATATGAAAGAAGATGGGATTTTGGGTCCTATTATCAGAGCCCAGGTCAGAGACACACTCAAAGTAAGTAACACAAATGCAGATTCATGGGAGAAATTAAATAGTAAATTATTATGGAGTACCTGGTTGTTTTTTAATTTTAAAACAAAAAGGTGCTCATATAATTTTAAATTCAAATGCAACTTTTAGTTTTTATTTAGTATTTGCATTTCTTTACAGCCTACTCAATAATACAAAGGATCTGAGACAGTTTCTCAAATTATAAAGGCATAAAACAAAGAGTCTATGTAACTGGGATAGAATCTGGGGACAAAGAAAATAAAGCCACAGATAAGTAGATACCATGTGACCCTGTAAGGCTGTCTTCAAATTTTGTCCTAAGCTTTATGGCAGACAGTATAAAAAAGGAAATATGTCAGGGTAAAGTTTACATCATCTATGAAAAGAAAGTACCATTTATCCTGATATTGAGATCTAAGAGGAACTTCTTTAATGAGTTCTACAAAAGAGAGTGCTGAGTGATACAGTAGATGGCATCCTTGATAAAATTCTTATAACCAGCATAATACATTAAAAGTTGCATTAAAAATGTTTCTCATTATAGCTAAGATATAATAGTAAACACAATTGAATCGAAACAATTGTTACTCAGACATTTTTTAGTATAGTCCAGGTATGCAGCTCTCTAGTGAAGGTAAACTGCATGTATCGAGAGCATGGAGTTTTCCTCAGACAATTCTCCTTAAATGTCACGTCACTTCACCAAGATAGATAAGAATTGGACAGCAGAGAATTAAAGGCTGCAATCTTTGACAAAATCCTAGAATGCAGATAATCTGCAGACAAAGGATGATCCAAAGGCTTTGACAATCAACCAAATAGAAGACTTAAGATTAAGGTTCTCTTTTGCAGATTAAAGAGCCTAACTAGGACTCCTGTGTGCTTTATGCACCTGACAAGGTCTATTCTGTTCATTTAAAATAGCCAAAGGACAAAAGCAGTTTTTTCCTCCATGCCTCTTTCCCTTCTTCCATTTCAGGTCCCTTTTATGTGCTCTCAGCAAGTGTAGACATACCTTATTAAAAGTTCAGATCCGGCTATTTGTTTGTGCCTCTCAAGAAGGTGGCTTCTTTCCCTCCTAAGGGTCTTACTCTGTCACCCAGGCTGGAGTGCAGTGGTGTGGTCATGGCTCACTGCAACCTCCACTTCCTGGGCTCAGGCGATTCTCCCACCTCAGCCTCTCAAGTAGCTGGGACTACAGGCACATGCCCCAACGCCTGGCTAATTTTTGTATTTTTTTTGTAGAGATGAGGTTTCACCATGTTGCGCAGGCTGGACTTGAACTCCTGAGCTCAAGTGATCCACCTGCTTCAGCTTCCCAAAGTGCTGGGGTTACAGGTTTGAGCCACTGCACCTAGCTGAGAAGATGACTTCAAAGACAGTGTCCTAAAAAAATCTACCAGGCAGGGGAAGGGGATCATGGTCTAGAGATGAGAAGCAGATTCAAAATGAGATGTGACCCAAGCTGGAGAGAGAAGGGCAGGGGAAGGAGGACTTGCTTGGAGACAGTTATACTGTGAGGAAAACTTTACTTCTCCTAACGAATCCTCTAAAGTCAGACTTCTCTTTCCATTTTCCACCTTCGTGTATGAGTGAAACACTCTCTCCAATGCTCCTCCCAAGTGATGCGGGGAGATTACTGATCAGATAAACAGATCTAATTTTCCCACTGTGTGTACACATGTGTACACACACACTATCCAAAAGGTGAAGATGCAAAGCTAGTATCTTATATTATTTGTCATGATCAACCTGAAATCCTAGAATAAATTTGATTTGACTTTGTAGATCGTGTTCAAAAATATGGCCAGCCGCCCCTATAGCATTTACCCTCATGGAGTGACCTTCTCACCTTATGAAGATGAAGTCAACTCTACTTTCACCTCAGGTTTGAATCTTTCACTTCTACTGAATCCAACTGGTGACTTCTGAGAGGCCGCCACGTTTTCCTGCTATTCTCCTTGCCCAGTGGTGTCACTGCTGCAGTCAGGTAGTATACGTGTAGGAGTATCCTAAAAATCACAGCCAAACCCTAGGAGTTTGTCTCCTAGTGGTAACAAAATATGGTGTCTTTTGTTAGTGTCATAGTGGCCTCTAGTGGAACAGTATCTAATGGCTCCATGCTATCCGGGTTCCAAGTAGAATATTTAAAGAATTCCTTTTGCAATATTAATTGGTTCTAACAAAAGCTTGTTTATTTATTTATTATCATGAAATAACTTTGCAAATGAAAACAATTTTGAATGTATTTTCTTTCAGGCAGGAACAACACCATGATCAGAGCAGTTCAACCAGGGGAAACCTATACTTATAAGTGGAACATCTTGGAGTTCGATGAACCCACAGAAAACGATGCCCAGTGCTTAACAAGACCATACTACAGTGACGTGGACATCATGAGAGACATCGCCTCTGGGCTAATAGGACTACTTTTAATCTGTAAGAGCAGATCCCTGGACAGGCGAGGAATACAGGTATTTTGTCCTTGAAGTAACCTTTCAGAAATTCTGGGAATTTCTTCTGGCTAGAACGTGTTAGGTCTCCCGGCTAAATAATGGGGCTTTTCCTTCAAGAGAACAGTAATTGTCAAGTAGTCCTTTTTAGCACCAGTGTGATAACATTTATTCTTTTTTTTTTTTGTCTTGTCTATTTTTATCAGTACCATCACTGCAGAAGGCAAGTCTAGAGTGTGATAACATGTTTTGTCTTAGTTTCAAATTCCAGGTCTGTTGATATTGGATGTGGTGAACAAGTTGATTAGCCTCTCCTAATTTCTTCCTTTTATCAAATGGGTTGATACCCCTCCTAAAAATGTTACAGGTCTGTTTGGGGTTTAGTGAGATACCATCTGGTAAAAGTATAAAGCTCTTTACCAGTCTCTGTTATTTTTAGAGACCTGCAATAGGGAGAGAGAGGAGAGATTCTCTGAAAGCAACCATTTAGAAACATAGTTACTAGTGAAATCCGACCGAGATAATGGCCCATCTCTGTTGAGACTAAAGTATACAGGGGAATGTGAACAAAGATACCGAATTTCTGAGTTCGTCTTCATTGAAGAATTACAGTCTCATGTGATTAAACTAAAATTCCCAATTATGCTAAACTATAACCAAAGAGGTCTTATCTCAAGGCATACAAGATAAACATATGCCTAGAAAATGAATTTCTGGACATATGGAAGATCCTGATTTATTGAACTAGGAAAGGAAACAGATAGTAGAAGCATAAGGCTTTGCTGTTGCAATCTTCTGTTTTATCCTTTGCACTCACTCATAGCATATTCAGTCAATCATTCATGTTGAAAGGTGTGCAGTTACAGAGATAGACAGACTTTCAGCTGCCATAGTGAAATTTTTCTTCTGGGATTTGTTTTTTTTTTTTTCTTTTGAGGCAGAGTCTCACTCTGTCACCCAGGCTGGAGAGCAGTGGCACCATTTTAGATCACTGTAACCTCTGCCTCCTGGGTTCAAGTGATTCTCCTGCCTCAGCCTCTTGAGTAGCTGGGATTACAGGCACCCGCCACCACCGCCATGTAATTTTTGTATTTTAGTAGAGACAGGGTTTCACCATGTTGGCTAGGCTGGTCTCGAACTCCTGACCTAAGGTGTTCCACCTGCCTCAGCCTCCCAAAGTGCTGGGATTACAGGTGTGAGCCAATGCGCCTGGCTCTTTTGGGATATTTTAATCTCTGAATTTTCTTATCTGTTCTGTTTGCTTTTGCATATTACCTTTAACTCTAACAAGTGCTGTGTATGCAATGGACTCTCATAAATGCCTGAATTATATGGCTTCAGTAGTTCCAAGAACTGTGTCACTTTGGTTTCTGAGAATTCAGTGGTGTAGATAATTTGCTGGAACTTAATGACTGAATACAGCACTTTTTTTTTTTTTTTTTTACTTTTAAGTTCAGGAGTACGTGTGCAGGATGTGCAGGTTTGTTACGTGGGTAAACATGTGTCATGGAGGTCTGTTGTACTTATTATTTCATCACCCAGGTATTAAGCCTAGTATCCATTGGTTATTTTTCCTGATCCTCTCCCTCTTTCCATCCTCCGTCCTCTGATAGGCCCCAGTGTGTATTGTTCCCTTCTACGTGTCCATGTGTTCTCATCATTTAGCTCTCACTTGTAAGTGAGAACATGCAGTATGTGGTTTTCTGTTCTCGTGTTAGCCTGCTTAGGATAATGGCTTCCAGCTCCATCCATGTCCCTGCAAAGGACATAATCTTGTTCTTTTTGGTGGTCACATAGTATTCCATGGTGTATATGTACCACATTTTCTTCATCCAGTCTATCATTGATAGGCATTTGGGTGGATTTCATGTCTTTGCTATTGTGAAGAGTGCTAAAATGAACATACGTATGCATGTGTCTTTATAATAGAATGATTTATATTCCTTTGGGTACATACCAAGTAATGGAATTGCTGGGTTCAAAGGTATTTCTGACTTTAGGTCTTTGAGGACTCACCATGGTGTCTTCCACAATGATTGAACTAATTACACTCCCACCAAGAGTGTATAAGTGTTCCTTTTTCTCCACAACTTTGCCAGCATCTGTTAGTTTTTGACTTTTTATTTATAGCCATTCTTATTGGTGTGAGATGGTATCTCATTGTGGTTTTGATTTGCATTTCTCTAATGATCAGTGATGTTGAGCGTTTTTTTCATATAGTCCTTGGGCGCATGTATGTCTTCTTTTGAAATATGTCTGTTCATGTCCTTTGCCTACTTTTTAATGGGGCTGTTTATTTTTTTCTTGTAAATTTAAGTTCCTTGTAAATGCTAGATATTAGACCTTTGCCAGATGCATAGTTTGCAAAAATTTTCTGCCATTCTGTAGGTTGCCTGTTTATTCTCTTGATAGTTTATTTTGCTGTGCAGGAGCTCTTTGTTTCAATTACATCCCATGTGCCAATTTTTGCTTTTGTTGTTATTGCTTTTGGCATGTTCGTCATGAAAGCTTTGCCCATGCCTATGTCCCAAATAATATTGTCTAGGTTGTCTTCCAGGGTTTTTGTAGTTTGGGGTTTTATGTTTAAGTGTTTTGTTGTTGTTTGTTTGTTTGTTTTTGTTATTTCTGAGACAGAGTCTCGCTCTGTTGCCCAGGCTGGAGTGCAGTGGTACAATCTCAGCTCATTGCAACCTCTGCCTCCCAGGTTCAGGTGATTCTCCTGCCTCGGCCTCCCGAGTAGCTGGGATTACAGGCATACGCCACAATACCTGGCTAATTTTTTTTTTTTTTTTGGTAGTAGAGATGGGTTTTGCCATGTTGACCAGACTGGTCTTGAACTCCTGACCTCAGGTGATCCACCCACCTTGGCCTCCCAAAGTGCTGATATTGCAGGCATGAGCCACCGCACCAGGCCTACATTTAAGTCTTTAATCCATCATGAGTTAATTTTTGTATATGGTGTAAGGAAGGGGTCCAGTTCCAAATTTTCCGCCTACGGCTAGCCAGTTTTCCCAGAACCATTTATGGAATAGAGAATCGTTTTCCCATTGCTTGTTTTTGTCACGTTTGTCAAGGATCAGATAGTTGTAGGTGGGCAGCCTTATTTCTGAGTTCTCTATTCTGTTCCATTGGTCTATGTGTCTGTTCTTGTACCAGTACTATACTGTTTTGTCCTCCAGAGGGCAGCAGACATCGAACAGCAGGCTGTGTTTGCTGTGTTTGATGAGAACAAAAGTTGGTACCTTGAGGACAACATCAACAAGTTTTGTGAAAATCCTGATGAGGTGAAACGTGATGACCCCAAGTTTTATGAATCAAACATCATGAGCAGTAAGTCAAAGTACTATTTTTGTTCATCAGTTTTTCATTCCTGTAGTTGAAATATGACTGTGCCTAGAGTCAGAGACATGGATTAGAATCCACTTCCTAAGGAGCATCTCCAATCCTCACTTCCAGTCCAAAGACTTGGTGATGAAATCCGTGGGTAACATCATAGCAACATTTTTAAGCAAGAGGTCAAAGGCTTGCTATCCTTAGAAATGCACTTGATCTTCTATTCCAAGCGTGTGCGTGTGTGTGTGTGTGTGTGTACACAGACGTACTCTAAATGGTGAGGAACAGGGTGAGGGGGTAGGACTAATGGAAGGTGTTACAGGCCATGTCAATAGTATCCTAGACTGAGTTCAGGGTGAATATATGGCCAGGACGGAAACAAGGCAAGTAATTCAAAGATGAACTGACACATTAAAGTAGAGCAAAATGAGTATAGGGACCCAAGAGTCTTGGAAAGGCAATGTACAAAGAAGTTTAAAGTGATCAGTAAGACATTCAGAACAAAAGGAATTCCCTGAATGAGGTTTCCGGCATTTGCCGCAGTTCTAAAGTTCAGTAGCCAAAAGCACTGCCATGGCGTCTGAGAGAAATATCACTGAGCCAGCTGGAAGTAAACTTCTCCACAACAGCCAGAGTCCCCCCTACTGATCCTCAGAGTCTAAAGTCATGGTAATCACCTTCTCTAGTAGGTAATCACACATGTGAGGATGATTTCTCCATGTTCTGTTCATATAGCTTCAGATGACTGACAGCTAGGGATTATCAGAGCCGACAGGTGCCAGGTCAAATAATTCAAACAGAAAATTACTCTCAGTTTTCTTTGCATAAGTTCCTTTTGGCAGTGAATCTGTCATAGTTCTAGACCAGTGCTGTCCAGTAGAAGCTACGTATGAGCTACATGTGTGATTTAAAATTTTCTGATAGCAACATTAAAAAGTAAAGAGAAATAGGTGACATTAATTTTAGTATTATGTTTTACTTAACTCAATATATCCTAAATATTATCATTTCAACATGTAATCAATATAAAAATTAATGAGACTTACTTCATTACTAAGTCTTTGAAATTCAATGTGTATCTTATACTCACAGCATATCTCAGTCCAGTCTACCCACATTTCAAGTGCTCAATAGCCACTTGTAGCCAGTGGCTACCATATTGAACAATGCAGTTATAGACGATTTAGAGAAACATCTAGAATGAGGTATAAACTAATAATGTATCATGTAAATTATTAAAGTCACTTTAGTGATTTAAGTAGGTATTTAAATATTTGTTAATGCCAGTCATTATACTAGTACTAAGGCTAAGAGTGGTAATCAAGATAGACATGAGCCCCGCCTTCATAGAAATCATACCTTTGATTTTTACTATGCTTAGTACGTAAGTAAATAGAAATATTGCCTACAGCAGTGTCCCTTTTAACAATTATGGAAATGTATGAACTGGATACTCAAATGGAAACTGTGAATACTATATAGATTATAAGACAGCAATAAAAACTATAAAATATGCTAAATGGGCTTTATTTTTTGGAACATTACTTCTTACCCAATGACTAGTACATCAAAAAATGAATTTCTTATATTATGCTTTTCCTCCAAGTGGAATTATTAGAATATCTTTAAAGGCAGAGAATGGAGCACAAAATGTTTACTATACATTTGACAAATGAATGACTAAATCAATGTAAATGGAAGGCTTTATCTTTTTCCTGAGATTTCTCCTTTGGCTAATTTAGGAGAATAATCTCTCACTGGAAAATTCTGAGTTTGATCTTCTAGTCACATGTTAGACTAGATAAAGCTTATCTTGGATAATCACTGCTTTGACACAACCAAATTAACATGGAGACATTTATCTTAGGTATAATTTGACACATGCCCTTTCGTTGGCATAGACCTGGAATTTTAACAGATTTTACACTTTCAGCTATCAATGGCTATGTGCCCGAGAGCATAACTACTCTCGGATTCTGCTTTGATGACACTGTCCAGTGGCACTTCTGTAGTGTGGGGACTCAGAATGAAATTTTGACCATCCACTTCACTGGGCACTCATTCATCTATGGAAAGAGGCATGAGGACACCTTGACCCTCTTCCCCATGCGAGGAGAATCTGTGACGGTCACAATGGATAATGTTGGTGAGTAAGAGCCTGGACACTCAGAGAGGAAGCTTGCTTTGAATTTCTGGTCTATAAAGGTCTGCTGCAGCTCTCCAGGCTACCAGTGCTCCTCTATTTATCTCCCTGATCCCCTGCAGACTTTCCTTTCAATGTTTCTCATGGTTTCTCTTTGAGAAATTAATGACTTAAATGGATCCAGTTCTTTAGTGTAGGTTATATTTTTCCTTCTCTGAGCAAATTAGGAAGATATACAACAGCAGAAAAATAAGGCATAATTTTGAGGAAGAAGCATAAATATTTTGCCCACAAAAGAGCATTTCTTTTATCAAAATGCCCTTTTCAGTTTTTTGCGACAGCCATCTTCAATCATCAGGTACAGTGCCTTAGAAGCTGCTTCAGCAACAGCTTTGGGGTTTGTCAGACTGGAATGCAAGTCGTGATTTGCCACTCAATAGCTGTGTAACCTCACACAAGTTACTTGGCTTCACTGAGCCACAGATCATTTATCTGGAAAACAGTGTAATCACATCTCACAGAGTTACTTTGACCATTAAAATAGTAATATGTGCCAAGTGCCAAGTGCCTGGCACTCAGTAGACACCAACAATGGTAACTATTAGAGACTCACCAAGAAATCTTTAATGTGCCAGCAATGCATGCCATTTCAGAGATTCAGAACTGTCCCCCTGAATTATTACTTAGAAACATCTAAATGTCTCTTATTTGTGAGGATAGAGCTCATCGTCAGCCCTTTAACTCTAATTCTAAGACAAGATGTGCTGTTAAGATATTTATGATATTAAAAGTCCATTTTATTCTTGATTCATCCCTTTCTTAATATATTTTAAAATAGTGAGTAACTATCTGTGCTGGAAGACCATTTTTCCCCTCTAATCTCCACTAAGCAATACTTTTGGTTTTTATTCTGTTAAGCGAGATAAATGCACTGGTCATGTGCTTAGAGTCACAGCAATGTCAAATTGCTTTAGAAAAGAAAAAGTTTATTAAATATTTCATTCTCATTTTTCTCTCCTTATGTTATTTTGACCCAGTAATCAATAGTTCACAGACAAGCAGTGGTCCACAGCCCATACTTGAGTATTCCTGTCTAAAGTTTATTAGAAATTACCTGCCACAATGGATTACTGGGTTTTCATGTCTTTTCCCAGACTTCCAGATATCTCTTCTCTCTATCTCTCTTCTGTAGGAACTTGGATGTTAACTTCCATGAATTCTAGTCCAAGAAGCAAAAAGCTGAGGCTGAAATTCAGGGATGTTAAATGCATTACAGATGATGATGAAGACTCATATGAGATTTTTGAACCTCCAGAATCTACAGTCATAGCTACACGGAAAATGCATGATCCTTTAGAAACTGAAGATGAAGAGAGTGACACTGACTATGATTACCAGAGCAGACTGGCTGCAGCATTAGGAATTAGGTCATTCAGAAACTCATCATTGAATCAGGAAGAAGAAGAGTACAATCTTACTGCCCTAGTTCTGGAGAATGGCACTGAATTCATTTCTTCGAACACAGATATAATTGTTGGTTCAAATTATTCTTCCCCAAATAATATTAGTAAGCTCACTGTCAATAATTTTGCAGAACCTCAGAAAACCCCTTCTCACCGACAAGCCACCACAGCTGGTTCCCCACTGAGACACCTCACTGGCAAGAACTCAGTTCTCAATTCTTCCACAGCAGAGCATTCCAGCCCTTATTCTGAAGACTCTATAGAGGATCCTCTACAGCCAGATGTCACAGGGATACATCTACTTTCACTTGGTGCTAGAGAATTCAAAAATCAAGAACATGCTAAACGTAAGGGACCCAAGGTAGAAAGAGACCAAGCAGCAAAGCACAGGTTCTCCCGGATGAAATTACTAGCACATAAAGTTGGGAGACACCTAAGCCGAGACACTGGTTCTCGCTCCAGAGTGAGGCCCTGGGAGGACCTTCCTAGTGATCTGTTACTCTTAAAACAAAATAACTCATCTAAGATTTTGGTTGGGAGATGGCATTTGGCTTCTGAGAAAGGTAGCTATGAAATAATCCAAGATACTGATGAAGACACAGCTGTTAACAATCGACTGATCAGCCCCCAGAATGCCTCACGTGCTTGGGGAGAAAGCACCCCTCTTGCCAACAAGCCTGGAAAGCAGAGTGGCCACCCAAGGTTTCCTAGAGTTAGACATAAATCTCTGCAAGTAAGACAGGATGGAGGAAAGAGTGGACTAAAGAAAAGTCAGTTTCTCATTAAGACACGAAAAAAGAAAAAAGAGAAGCGTACACACCATGCTCCTTTATCTCCAAGGACCTTTCACCCTCTAAGAACTGAAGCCTACAACACATTTTCAGAAAGAAGACTTAACCATTCATTGTTGCTTCATAAATCCAATGAAACATCTCTTCCCAAAGACCTCAATCAGACATTGCCCTCTATGGATTTTAGCTGGATAGCCTCACTTCCTGACCATAATCAGAATTCCTCCAATGATACTCGTCAGACAAGCTCTCTTCCAGATCTTTATCAGACAGTGCCCCCAGAGGAACACTATGAAACATTCCCCATTCAAGACCCTGATGAAATGCACTCTACTTCAGACCCCAGTCACAGATCCTCTGCTCCAGAGCTCAGGGAGATGCTTGAGTATGACCGAAGTCACAAGTCCTTCCCCACTGATATAAGTCAAATGTCCCCTTCCTCAGAACGTGAAGTCTGGCAGACAGTCCCCTCTGCAGACCTCAGCCAGGTGACCCTCTCTCCACAACTCAGCCAAACAAACTTCTCGCCAGACCTCAGCCACACGACTCTCTCTCCAGAACTCAGTCAGACAAACCTTTCCCCAGCCCTCGGTCAGATGCCCATGTCTCCAGACCTCAGCCATACAACCCTTTCTCCAGACCTCAGTCATACAACCCTTTCTCCAGACCTCAGCCATACAACCCTTTCTCCAGACCTCAGTCCTACAACCCTTTCTCCAGACCTCAGTCATACAACCCTTTCTCCAGACCTCAGTCACACAACCCTTTCTCCAGACCTCAGTCCTACAACCCTTTCTCCAGATCTCAGTCATACAATCCTTTCTCCAGACCTCAGTCCTACAACCCTTTCTCCAGACCTCAGTCATACAAACCTCTCTCCAGACCTCAGTCATACAACCCTTTCTCCAGACCTCAGTCAGACAAACCTTTCCCCAGCCCTCGGTCAGATGCCCATGTCTCCAGACCTCAGTCATACAACCCTTTCTCCAGACCTCAGTCATACAAACCTCTCTCCAGACCTCAGTCATACAACCCTTTCTCCAGACCTCAGCCAGACAAACCTCTCTCCAGAACTCAGTCATACAAACCTTTCCCCAGCCCTCGGTCAGATGCCCCTTTCTCCAGACCTCAGCCAGGTGACTGTCTCTCCAGACATCAGTGAGACCACCCTTCTCCCTGATCTCAGCCAGATATCACCTCCTCCAGACCTTGATCAGACATTCTACCCTTCTGAATCTAGTCAGTTATTGCATCTTCCAGAATTTAATGAGACTTTTCCTTATCCAGACCTTGGTCAGATGCCATCTCCTTCATCTCCTACTCTCAATGATACTTTTCTATCAAAGGAATTTAATCCACTGGTTATAGTGGGCCTCAGTAAAGATGGTACAGATTACATTGAGATTATTCCAAAGGAAGAGGTCCAGAGCAGTGAAGATGACTATGCTGAAATTGATTATGTGCCCTATGATGACCCCTACAAAACTGATGTTAGGACAAACATCAACTCCTCCAGAAATCCTGACAACATTGCAGCATGGTACCTCCTCCGCAGCAACAACGGAAACAGAAGAAATTATTACATTGCTGCTGAAGAAATATCCTGGGATTATTCAGAATTTGTACACAGGTTTGGCCAGTTTTCTCGTTTTTTATTCTCATTTTTCCATTACTCCTGAAAAAAGTAGCTACTACAATTCAGGGGGATAATTGTGGGCAAATTATACTAAGAACAGTGTGGTTCCCCTATTGCAAGTTGGTCTGTTCTATTTCCTTTGTCAATTCCAAAACTGCTTCTTTACCTTGGATGACCCCTGGACAATATAAGAACAATCATTGGGAGAACTCTATAATATTCTGTAATTAGACCTTTTTCTGTGTCCTCTCCTCTTACTACCCTTGTTTCTACTGACTCTTATTGCTCCAGGCAGAGCCCAACCTATCCATTAGCTATATGCTAATCAATATGATTTAATTGAAGTTAGCCTCAAATCCAAACCCAAATATGATGTAGAAATCTCCTTTTTGCATTTACTTGTTTAGATCAGAATTTCTAAGAGATCCAAATCACTTTGTTTTAAAGATAATTTACAATTCAGTTTTGCTTAGGGGTAGAAAGCCATGTTGAACTGGGTTCTTTGTTCTGGGATGAAGATACAGAAAGAGAAGGAAAGGAGCAAGGCTTAGTCAACTACAAATTCTCAGGGACATAGCATGATGACTGCGCATCAACTGTCTAGACATAGCCCACAGCTTTTACTAAAACTGTTACATTAATCACTTAAAAAACCAAAGTGTAATTACAGTAGGCAAACACAATGTATGGTGTGACTTACGCAAATGACTTCATTAATCTGATGCCTGACATTTCCACATTAGAACTCTGTTTAAAACACTTTTTCCTATGACTTCCTATTTAAATGTTGCACTCAATACCATATGAGAACAACTAGCTATCTAAGCATTTCTAAGCAAGGCCTGAGGGAGTAAGATGTAGGGCCTGTCCAGAGTAAATACGGATGGAACCACCTTCAAAATCTTGTATTCCATTCAAGGCTCACGACCCACTTTAATGGCAGTCAAAGTTGCTTTACCCACTCCCTTGTGTTCTGTGAGTTTGCATGTTATGCTCAGAGTCTGGAAAGATGGGATTAGTAGGGGAGGTAGACCAGAAGAAAGGCAGGATGAGATTCTCTGTTGATGGCTCATGGTATATAGCAAATATTATGGGTGTGATGGGTGAGTGTTTGGCTTGTTTCCACAGGCTTGGGAAATGTGAGAGCCAGTGGGAAAATTCGACATGCTTCAGTCCTAGACTGAGACAATGAACTAGATGGAAATAATGTGCATTATGTAATTAAACTTTTTATTTTGGAGTAAAAATAAAATAGATCCACATACAGTCAAGAGAAATAATACGGAGAGATTATTTGGGTATCATGAGTATTCTTTACCCAGTTTCTCCCAGGGGTAACATTTTGCAAATCTATAATACTATATCACAACCAGCATACTGACATTGATACTGTCAAGATACGGGATGTTTACCATCACCTTAAAAATCCCTCTCTTTACCCCTTTATACTCATATCGACCTTCCTCCCACCATACCCCTTCCTTATTCCCTGGCAACCAGTAGTCTGATCTCCATTTCTATAATTTTGTCATTTCAAGAATATCACATAAATGGAATCAGGCAACATGTAACCTTTGGGGACTGGTATTTTTTCACTCAGTAAATTTCTCTGGAGATTTGTCAGATTATTGCATGTACTTCATTACATGGGTGTACCACAGTTTTTTTTGTTTTTGTTTTTTTTGGTCATTGTTTTATACATATTTATGGTGCAAACATGATGTTTTCATATATTTATAAACTGTGAATTGACAAAATCAAGCTAATTAGCCTATGCATTACCTCACATACTTTTTTGTGGTTAGAACACTTAAAATGTACTCAGCAATGTTAAAAAATTCAGTGTGTTGTTATTAACTACAGTCACCATCTTATACAACAGATCTTCTAAATTTATTTCTTCTAATTGAATTTTATCTTTTGACCATTTTCTCAATGCTTCACCTCTGTATTCCTTTGTTAACCACGGTCGTACCTTCTGCTTCTATGAGCTCAATGTTTTCAGTTTCCACATTATAAGTGAGATCCTGCAGTACTTGTCTTTCTGTGCCTGGCTTATTTTATGTAACATAACGACCTCCTGGTTCAGTCATGTTGTCGCAGATGACATTTCTTCATTTTCTTTTTTTTTTTTTTGAGACGGAGTCTCGCTGTGTCTCCCAGACTGGAGTGCAGTGGTGTGATCTCGGCTCATTACAAGCTCCGCCTCCCTGGTTCACGCCATTCTCCTGCCTCAGCCTCCCGAGTAGCTGGGACTACAGGCGCCTGCCACCACGCCCGGCTAATTTTTTTTGTATTTTTAGTAGAGACAGGGTTTCACCGTGTTAGCCTGGATGGTCTCGATCTCCTGACCTCATGATCCACCCGCCTCGGCCTCCCAAAGTACTGGGATTACAGGTGTGAGCCACCACGCCCAGACCATTTTCTTTTTCTTCAATGCTAAATAGTATTTCATTGTTTATGCAGATCACATTTAAGAAATCCATTCATTTGTTGATAGACATTTGGGTTGCTTCCCTATCTTGGCTAATGTGGCTAATGCTGCAGTGAACGTGGGAGAGCAGGTATCTCTTCAACATACTGATTTCATTTTCTGTGGGTATATACCCCAAAATGGGATGAATGAATCATATGGTAATTCTATTTTTAATTTTTAAAGGAACCTCCCATACTGTTTTCCATAATGGCTGTACTAATTTACATTCTCACCAAGATGTACAAGAGTTCCCTTTTCTTCACATCCTTGCCAACATTTATCTCTTGTCATTTTTATAATACAATCCTGACGGTGTGAGGTGAGCCCTCATTGTGATTTTAAATTGCATTTCTCTGATTATTAGTAATGTTGAGCATCTTTTCACATATTTGTTGGTCATTTGTATGTCTTCTTTTACGAAATGTCTATTCAAGTCTTTTGCTCATTTTTTAATCAGGCTATTTGGGTTTTTGCTGAATTGAGTTCCTTATACTTTTAATTTTAATTCCTTATCAGATATTTGGTTTTCAAGAATATTCTCCCATTCCACAGGTTGTCTCTTCACTCTGTCATTTCCTTTGCTGTGCATGAACTTTTGAGTTTGGTGGCAATCCCATTTGTCTATTTCTGCTTTTGTTGACTTTGCTTTTGAGGTCATATCCAAAAAATCTTTGTCCACACCAGTGTCAAGAAGCTTAAGAATAATGGACATTAGCAAAAAACAAATGTGAGAAGAGTGGCTACTTTCAGGGTACAAAACATTCATCCATCCAGTGACTTTCATAAGTATGACCTTCTAATTAATCTGACCATTGTCACCTGATAGCCCCAGGCTCTGGCGCTGTCCCATTACATGGCTTTGTCTGCCTTTGATCTTAAAATTTAGAACATATGATTGTATTTGTGCATTCATTTATATGTTTGACAAAAATTTATTAAGCTCCTACTGTGTGCCAGATAATGTGCTTACCACTGGAGAGAGTATTATGAGCAAACTAGGCACAATGGCTGACCTCATGGTACTTATACCCAGTGAGAGTCAGATATTAATAGATAATCTCACAAATAAATTATATATAATATACCGTATATACTATAGAAATAGTATAAGAATACTACAGGAATTTACTATGTATACTATAATAATACTATAGAAATATAAGGAATTGATATAGAGACTTGACCTAGTCTGAAAGGTCATAGGAAGACTTACCTGTGAAATAATATCTGAGTTAGGAATTGAAAGATATTTACTGGCTTTTGTTTTTATTCACTTTTACATTTACTCATTTGTCCATCAAATATTTATTAAAGACCTTCTCTATGCTAGATGCTATATTTAGAAAGAGGCAATTTCCTAAATTCTTTGAACAGTCTTTAATTTCTTCTTTTACACAATTAGTATTATTATTTCAGGGAAACAGATATTGAAGACTCTGATGATATTCCAGAAGACACCGTATATAAGAAAGTAGTTTTTCGAAAGTACCTCGACAGCACTTTTACCAAACGTGATCCTCGAGGGGAGTATGAAGAGCATCTCGGAATTCTTGGTCCTATTATCAGAGCTGAAGTGGATGATGTTATCCAAGTAAGTCTTTTGAGCACTGCTAAGATCATCAGAGGAATTTTCACAAGCACCAGAGGGTTGTAAAGGTGCAGGTGGCAAGAGAGCTATAAGTGATTTGTTTATTTTCCAGGATTAATGAATAATTACATTTCTTTTCAAAGACTCCTTGTCAAACAATTTGGCAATCTTCAAGACTAAAAAAAAAAAGATCTCACTTTTTTTTAAATGCTGAAAACTATATAATCTGTAGAAAATCTCTCTGTAATTTCTATCTAAAGCTAACCTATCTCAAGTTAACATAGAAAGTTAATATATTCAAGAGCAATTGCATTGGGCTTCATAATAGTGGTGGTGGTGGTGGCAGTAGTAGTGCTAGTAGTAATAGCAATTTAGAAATATCTCCTGATGTTTTCCAAAAAAAATAAATAAAGTGAAGTTAAATAAAATGAGTAAGGAAAGTAAAGATATCTCTGTGCCCTCCAAAAGTGAGCAAGTTTCTTCAGTGTCTTCCTAGTTCTGGTCATTTCTTTCAAAATCTTGTGTCCAGACCCAGGATTATAACTTGCTTTTAGAACAAAGTTTACTTCAGCCATTTTTGCTAACCTCTCACGTTCAAAAACCCAGAAAGAACCCTGATTCTAAAGTCAGCTATTCTAGATTTTAAAATATAATCTACTATACCTGTGTAAGCATTACTACATTTTCAGTGACCATTTGCTCTTTTTAAAAATGTGAACAAGTACATAAGGATATAAGAATCTTAATTATTCTAAATTTTCCATGAAACTATGGAAGGCAATATTCTCTCTTATGATTAGGGGATCCTTTTTCAAGATGAATGATAATTTAACACAATATTTTAAAAACCTATTCTAAGTGAAGTAACTCAGGAATCAAAAACCAGACGCTGTATGCTCTTACTTATAAATGGGAGCTAAACTATGGGTATGCAAAGGCAGATAGATTGGTATAATGGACATTGGAAATTCAAAAGGGAATGGGGGGATGGATGAAAAGCTACCTCCTGGGTGCAGGGTACACTACTCAGGTGACAGGTACAACTAATATCCTAGACTTCACCACTATACAATTCATCCATGTAACCAAAAACCACTTGCATCCCTAAAGCAACTGAAGTTTTTTTAAAAAATTAAAAATCAAAATAAACACAGGAAAGTCACAATTAACAAAACATCACAATTGTGAATAAAGACAGGATCAGTAACAATGTTGCATTGAGTCATACTGGAGCCTTAGGCAAAAGGAAAAAAATCAAATACTGAATCTTTGTTTTAGCCCTGGATTTCACGAGATAAAAATAACTTCATTTGTGTATTTAAAAATAATTTTAACTTTTATTTTAGATTCAGGGGGCATATGTGCAGGTTTGTTATCTGGGTATATTATGTGATGCTGATGTTTAGGGTATGATTGATCCCATCATCCAAGTAGTGTGCATAGTACCCAATAGTTTTTCAGCCCTTGCTCATCTCCCTCCTCCCACCCCGCTCTAGTGGTCCCCAGTGTTTATTGCCATTATGTTTGTGAGTACCCAATGTTTAGCTCCCACTTATAAGTGAGAACATGTGGTATTTGGTTTTCTGTTTCTATATTAATTCACGTAGCATAACAGCCTCCAGCTGGCATCCATGTTGTTGTAAAGGACATGATTGCAGTCTTTTTTATGGCTGCGTAGTATTCCATGGTGCATATATACCATATTTTCTTTATCTAGTCCACCACTGATGGGCACCTAGGTTGATTCCATGTCTTTGCTACTGTGAATAATGCTGTGATGAACATCCTAGTACATGTGTCTTTTTGGTAGAACAATGTATTTTCTTTTTCTTTTTTTTTTTTTTTGAGATGGAGTCTCAATCTGTCGCCCAGGCTGGAGTACAGAGGTATGATCTCAACTCATTGCAACATCTGCCTCCAAGGTTCAAGCAATTCTCCTGCCTCAGCCTCCCGAGTAGCTGGGATTACAGGTGCCCACCACCAGGCCCAGCTAATTTTTGTATTTTTAGTAGAGACAGGGTTTTACCATATTGATCAGGCTGGTCTCAAACTCCTGACCTCAGGTAATTTGCCTGCCTCAGCTTCCCAAAGTGCTGGGATTACAGGCATGAGCCACTGTGCCCGGCTGAACAGTTTTATTTTCTTTTTTGGCTATATACTCAGTAATAGAATTGCTAGGTCAAATTGTAGCAGGACAAGCCTCAGACAAAACCCCTCAGACACCGAGTTAAAGAAGGAAGGGCTTTATTCAGCCAGGAGCTTTGGCAACACTCATGTCTCCAACAACCGAGCTCCCCAAGTGAGCAATTCCTGTCCCTTTTAAGGGCTCACAACTCTAAGAGGGTCCGTGTGAAAGGGTCATGATCCATTGAGCAAGCAGGGGGTACGTGACTGGGGGCTGCACGCACCGGTAATTAGAACAGAACAGGACAGGACAGGGATTTTCACAGTCCTTTTCTATACAATGTCTGTAATCTATAGATAACATAACAAATTAGGTCAGGGGTCGATCTTTAACTACCAGGCCCACGGTGTGGTGCCGGGCTGTCTGCTTGTAGATTTCATTTCTGCCTTTTACTTCTTCTTTCTTTGGAGGCAGAAATTGGGCATAAGACAATATGAGGAGTGGTCTCCTCACTTAAAATAGTAGTTCTGTTTTAAGTTCTTTGAGAAATCCCCAAACGTCTTTCCACAGTGGCTAATTCACATTCTAAGCAGCAGTGTATAAGCATTCCCTTTTCTTCACAGCCTCACCAGCATCTATTTTTTGGATTTTACTAATAGCCATTCTGACTGGTGTGAGATGGTATTTCACTGTAGTATTGATTTGCATTTCTCTGATGATTAGTGATGTTGAGCATTTTTTTTCACGTTTGCTGGCTATTCGTATGTCTTCTTTTGAGAAGTATCTGTTCATGTCTTTTGCCCACCTTTTAATGGGGTTATTTGTATTTCACTTGCTCAATTGTTTAACTATCTTATAGTTTCTGGATATTAGACCTTTGTCAGATACATACTTTGTGAATATTTTTTCCATTCTGTGTCTGTTCACTTTGTAGGTAGCTTCTTTTGCTGAGAAAAAGCTCTTTAGTTTGTCAATTTTTGCTTTTGTTGAAATGCTTTTGAGGAATTAGTCATAAATTCTTTCCCAAGGCTGATATCCAGAATGGTGTTTCTTAAGTTTTCTTCTAGGATTCTTAAAGTTTGAGGTCTTACATTTAAATCTTTAATCCATTTTTTAAAAAATTATACTTTATGTCCTAGGGTACATCTGTAATCCATCTTGAGTTAATTTTTGTATATGATTAATCCAGTTTCATTGGATTCATTGGGGTCCAGTTTCATTCTTTCACATATGGGTAGCCAGCTATTCCAGCACCATTTATTAAATACGAGTTCTTTTCCCCTTGTTTTTGTTTTGTTGTTGTTGTTGTTGTTGACGACTTTGTCAAAGTTCAGGTGGTTGTAAGTGTGTGGCTTTATTTCTGGGTTCTTTATTCTGTTCCATTGGCCTATGTGTCTGTTTTTGTATCAGTATCATGCTATTTTGGTTATTGCAGCTTTATAGTATAGTTTCAAGTCAGGTACTGTGATACCTCCAAATTTGTTCCTTTTGCGTAGGATTGCTTTGGCTATTCAGGCTCTTTTTTGACTCCATATGAATTTTAGAATAGCTTCGTCTAATCCTGAGGAAAATGATTCCAGTAGTTCATTAAAAATAGTGTTGAATCTGTAGATTGCTTGGGGCACAATGGCTATTTTAACAATACTGATTCTTTCAATACATGAGCATACAATGTTTTTCCATTTGTTTGTGTTACCTATGATTTCTTTCGTCAGTGTTTTGTAATTCTCCTTACAGAGATCTTTCACCACTTTGGTTAGATGTTTTCCTAGGTATTTTGTGTATGTGTGTGTGTGTGTGTGTCTATTTCTAATGGGATTGTGTTCTTGATTTCGCTCTCAGTTTGAACATTACTGATGTATAGAAATGCTACTTTGTACATTGTATTTTGTATAATTGATTTTGTACATTAATCTTGCATACTGAACCTTTACTGAAGTCATTTATCAGTTCCTGGAGCCTTTTTGTGGAGTCTTTAGGGTTTTCTAGGTACAGAATCATATTGTCAATGAAGAGAGATAGTTTAACTTCTTTTCTTCTTTGATTGCCTTTTATTTCTTTCTCTTGCTTGATTGCTGTGACTAGAATTTCCAGTACTGTGTTGAATATGAGTGATGAGAGTGGACATCCATGTCTTGTTCCAGTTCTCACAGGGAAGGCTTTCAGCTTTTGCTCATTCAGTATGATGTTGACTGTGGGTTTGTCATAGATGGCTCCTATTATTTTGAAGTATGTTCCTTCAATGCCTAGTTTGTTGAGGGTTTTTATCATGAAGAGATGTTAGGTTTTATCAAAAGCTTTTTCCATGGTTATTGAGATGATGATACTGTTTTTGTTTTTAATTTGGTTTATGTGGTGAATCACATTTATTGATTTGCATACATTGAGCCACTTTGCATCCTAGGAATGAAGCCTATGTGATTGTGATGAATTAATTTTTACTTTGCTGCTGGATTTGGTTTGCCAGTATTTTGTTGAAGATTTTTGTAATATGTACATCAGAGATATTGGCTGGTGGTTTTCATGATTCATTGTGTCTTTGCCAGGTTTTGTTATTAGGGTGATGCCGGCTTTGTAGAATAAAATAAGGAAGAGACAGTTAGGGGATCTTTAATCACTAGAAGTTATAGAAGGGCCGGGAGGAGCTTCACAAGTCTGACTGCTGGGGTGTGAAGACTTCCCATATGGCATTTAAGTCCTTTACCATCTGGCTCCAACCTGGTCCTTTTCCAGCCTCATTTCTCACCAGGTTCCACCTGTCCCTGTGCATTTCACAGCCCAGCTCCATTCAGATTCTTCCTTGCTATTCCCCAAACTCTTCCTTTATTCCCCTGCTCACAGGCATCCTTCTGCCCTTCTGAGAGTCTGAAATGTCTTTCTAGCTCCTGTTCATTCTACGATAGCCAATTCCATTTCCTCCAATAAACTTACCTTAATTCTTCCAACCTCTCCTAAATACTCAACCAAATCGTTCCTCCAGGGCATCATCATCTGAACCCACTTAGACTTTGTATATAGCACCTGTTGTCTCCAGATTTCTAGTGTGGATGCCCATGTGCATGTTGTTTTCATCAGAAGCTTAAAAGCTTCTTATGAACAAGAATCAAGCCTCTTTCATCTTCATATCTTCACTACCTATCACTCTCATTTCATTAGTAGATAATGTCAGTACTTTGGCCTTGAGCCTAAGAACACATATCTTTTGGTATTTCTGGAGAAAACTACTTGGGCCATATCTCACAGGATGGTTGTGAAAATTAAATGAAATAATATACATAAGTTATTTTATACCTTATATCTTAGCTCCGATTTTATAACCAGTCACTTTGGCCTATAATGCTGACATTTTTGTGGTTTAGATTTTTGTTAAGCTTAAGCACATTTGTGGATCATTCCTTTCTCTAGGTTCGTTTTAAAAATTTAGCATCCAGACCATATTCTCTACATGCCCATGGACTTTCCTATGAAAAATCATCAGAGGGAAAGACTTATGAAGATGACTCTCCTGAATGGTTTAAGGAAGACAATGCTGTTCAGCCAAATAGCAGTTATACCTACGTATGGCATGCCACTGAACGATCAGGGCCAGAAAGTCCTGGCTCTGCCTGTCGGGCTTGGGCCTACTACTCAGCTGTGAACCCAGTAGGTACTTTCATTGAAAGTTTTTCTCATTCCCCTAACCTCGTAGTCTGAGTCCACCAAATGGAAGAGAGGGGGTTATTTATTGTCAAATGTCTGTCTTGCTTTTCATGAGGAATGTATAAGGGTGTGGTTAGCAGTCTACATTTATCATAACCAGGGACTCTCCATGCAGCTCTTCAGATGACAGAGAGAGAAACGTTTATTCAGTGGAGAGGAGGGAAGATTACTTGAATGATTGGCCATGAATTAGAATGCCTACATTTACAGAAGATGACATTTATTTGAAATTTTCTTGAACAAATATTAGCTATGTTCTGCTCTTTCTTTATGGAAAAAAACTGCAAACTCAAGACTCCCTTATCTATCATTCTGCAATGTATATATACTTCAAAACAATATGTTGTACACAGTATATACATACAATTTTATTTGTCAATTAAAAAGAGAAGCAACTCCTTCATTTAATGCATAGTGGAAAGAGCACAGACTCAGATTTAAATTTTTACCCTGTCACGTAATGCATAATCCTAGTAAATTCCTTGACCTCTCTTAGCCTGGTATCAGAAGTTAAAAATGAGGTAATAGTACATGGTGCATGGTAAGCACTTGGTAAATACTTGTTCAATGAATGAATTTATATTTATCATATAAGATAGTTGTCACGATTAAATGAGAGATTGCAGGCAAATCATTTAATATTCTGGTAGATTCCCAATAAATAGTATCCCTTATATTATCAATTTATTATTATCATCATTGTTACTGGGATAAAGATCAACCAGAGGAAGGAGGATTATGAATACAACAGAATTAGGTGATAAATATCCAGGCTTATTACGCCATTCATTTATAATCTTCATCTTCAAATTCAGAGCCTGTCAGAAAGTTTCCTTTTTTATATGATGAGTGACTATCAGAAGAGCAAGGAAATTCCTGAGAAAGAGACAATACAATTTACTCTCTTTTTCCAGGAAAAAGATATTCACTCAGGCTTGATAGGTCCCCTCCTAATCTGCCAAAAAGGAATACTACATAAGGACAGCAACATGCCTGTGGACATGAGAGAATTTGTCTTACTATTTATGACCTTCGATGAAAAGAAGAGCTGGTACTATGAAAAGAAATCCCGAAGTTCTTGGAGACTCACATCCTCAGAAGTGAAAAAATCCCATGAATTTCACGGTATTTTCCTCTGACTTTGATCTAATCTCCTAATTAAATCACACTGGGTCACAGTGATTCCTGCCCTTAGAGCTTCACAAGATTAGACATGAGATGCTTCTGAGACAACCAGAGCTACAATTAAAACTGGTTCCTTAACATTCCAGAGGGCTGATGTAATCTGGCAGGTAACACTGTGGGTGAGGCAAAAAGAGAAAGTCTGAAAGATAGTGCAGAGAAGCTGCTGTAAAACAAACGAACAGAAAACCACAACAACAAAAAGCCAGTGTGCTTCAGCTGGTAACACACATTGAAAAGGAATTAACATTGTTCTGCAATTTAAAAAGTTAATAAGCTTGTTTCTGGATCTCTAAAGGCACAAGTGTTTATATAAAAGAAATGATCACCTGTGTGTCTTTTCTAAAATAAGAATGATTCTAACAGTTTTAGCTCTCAGCAGCTACCAGTGGCACCCAAAGCATATGAGAACAAAATGAGAGAAGAAACTAGGTACCCAGGTAATGGGAGAATAGTGGCAAGAGAGCATGTGGGTGGTCACACTGGGAAAAGTGTGCCTACTTGGAAATTCACTCAGAAATTTGGCCTGTAAGCTAGTAACTGAAACAGAAACTGAGAGGAGAAAGGTACGAGCTTGTGTTATGAATATGTAGACAGGTGTTCTCATGCCTGATATAATTTTAAGGATGCCCAAATGATCTCAACCCGTTCCTCTCCAAAAATTCGCTTGCCTGGTTTCTGAAATTTCACAGCAGTTCCTCTAACTTAAGAAGAAGGAAACAAAGCACTTCCCTCACTTTGGTTTCAGTTAAATGTTTGGTAACACTAAACTTTATCTTTAAAATTTTGTGTTACATTTTTAAGGTGATCATGTTTCTCAGGGACTTTAAAAAAAAATCCACATATTTTACTACAGGGAGAGTAGATAAAGCCTGAGAACCCGAGACACCTAATCTGAGAAGTGGGCAGAGGAGTTATCGTACCAATGAGAGAAAAAACGTGACTTGCTATGGTTGCTGGATACACCAACAATAAATTCCTCGTATTATAAACTCCTAGACTTCCAAATTTGCCTGAAACTTTCTCTGAATTTAGAAGGCCTTAAGGTGACATGCTGCATGTCTCCTTGCTGACTCTAACCCCTGGAGTTTACTTTGTCTGCCTATATTTGTGTTTATCTTTTTGTAGTTAAGGAAAATTAAGACTGTTAATGGAAAGGCTACATGGGTAAAGCACAGAAGTGTAAAAGCTGGGGAAAAGAGTGATACACCGCTTGGAAAGGGAGATACCCCCGCCTTCTGCTGTAGGCTGGTGTGAATGATATGAGAAGGACTAGTGGTTCTGCTTCAGCCTCTCACTAATATGACGTACAAGAGGGCGCTTTCCATGGCTAGGTAGGCCTGGGAATGCAGAAACATGAGGAAGATGGGTGTTGAGTGAGTTGCCCCATATTTCCTTACCAGTCGCCCTCTCTGTGTCAACAGATTTTTAACTGATTTCAACTCTTTGTCCTTTCAGCCATTAATGGGATGATCTACAGCTTGCCTGGCCTGAGAATGTACGAGCAAGAGTGGGTGAGGTTACACCTGCTGAACATAGGCGGCTCCCAAGACATTCACGTGGTTCACTTTCATGGCCAGACCTTGCTGGAAAATGGCAATAAACAGCACCAGTTAGGGGTCTGGGCCCTTCTGCCTGGTAAAGACTTGGGAAATGGAAAGAGGTCCCTGCTAAGAAATACAGGGAAAAGGCAATCATAGCATCTGTTACTCCTTCTTATTTCTTCCTTGTGCATATACTTCCTAAGGAGTCAGAACATAGGGTTCTGGCTTAGAGCCTAGGCAAACTCATAGACCCAAAGTATGTATGGAGTGCAAAAATGTCACCTAATTTATGAACTATTTGCAGCACCACACAGGCTAAATGTGTGACCCAACTCAGTTGCTACATAACATGCAGTTTCTCCCGAGCCACTGTGTGTCATATAGATGAGGTCTCAAGCAGATAAAAAAATGAATCCCACAGGGCTCAGGCAGCTACAGTTATTTCTGCTGGAAGGGTTTTCAGATTCTTCAGTTCTGCTCCTCCTCTAGGCTCTAGCACCCTAATATCTTTGGGCAAGTGACTCCAGGAATCATATTTTTAAACTGACTTATAGACTGTTTGAAGGGGAAAACATTTTTTTAAAATAGTTACAAAAGTTAAAGAATAACAAAGGTATTTAGAGCTTTTCATGTGCAAAATAAAGATAAATGTAGATTTAAACAATCTACAATTATACAGAAGGGATATTTCTGTGCCAATGAGTTGTTTGTACGTGTATCTACTTATGCAGCAGGTGTGTGGGTGGGGCTGTGATGCCAGAAGCCAAATTCTCAAACTTCAATGGATGTAATAAAAACCTAGGAAGTCGGTTAAAATGCAGATGTGAAAGCAGAGGAATTTTGTTTTCAGAGACTTTAAGGTAGATTTTGGGCAGAATTCCCAGGAGTCTGTATTTTTAACAAGCAGCCTTCCTTCTATTTTGCCTTCTATTAAAAGTAATGGCAAAAACCGCAATTATAGTTTGAACCAATCTAACACACGCTGCCTGAGGATCTAGTGAAGGCAGTCCCTCGACAGCACTTTGAGTGAGGTTGTGTGAGTCTGCCTCAGATGCAGGCACAGAAGTCCAAATGGACTGGTTTGATTAAGAGCAGGGGAAAAAAGAGGGTTCTTGTTGGTTTTTCACATGCCAGTAACTCACTAATACATCTAGAGAGTATTAATTATATTGTATTAACATTGTATTAATACGATAATCAATAGATAATTAATCTATCATATTAAAATCAGAGACAGAAGAGATACAGTCAAATTCTCTCATCTTTTCATCGAGTATTAGAAGATCAATCATCCTTCCCATATAAGCCTAGAGACAGACTGAGAAGCTAGGATTGGCTGGCATCTCTAAATCTGCAAACCTAAATACTTGCATTGGAGAGAGGAAAACTGGAGATCTTTTTCAGTGGGTTTGAGGAAGATAACTGTATCTATTCATTTTCACCCACAATCTGGGAAAGAGTCATAAATTATAGTCAACAGAATTTAAATATTAACTGCCAGGGGGTAATGTTAAATACCAGAATGGATAGCCAGAAGTTTTAGAAATCTCATTCTTTCAGTGTTTTTTTCTGAACAATTTATGTAAATCTCTAGTCACATATGTAAGCTTTATGGAAAATTTGAAAACATGGAGGAAGAAGATTTTATTTTGATTTTCTTTTATAAAAAAGAGAAAAAAGCAAAATGAAGAGAGGGAAAGGAAACATGTATGATATTTTTGAAGCCCAATGATGTCATTCGAGGTCACTTTGATACTTAGGACTGTGAAGCTGTATTGTGTGTGAGTTAACTTGTAACACTATATTTAGATAAGTGAAAGTTTCTTCTAGTGAGGCATGGTAGAGATTTAAAAATTTCTTTAGTTATCTCTCTGTGTGTGTTGTTATTGTTTTGTTTTTATCTGTTATACTTGTAGTCCTACCTAAAGAAAAATGGTTAAATTCTATTTGAAAGTCTCTTGTGAAGCAGGAATTTTAGGATTCATAGAGAACTATCAACCACAATATTTACTTGTTAATTTTTGCAAATGTAATGTTGTTCTTTTTATTTTAGGTTCATTTAAAACTCTTGAAATGAAGGCATCAAAACCTGGCTGGTGGCTCCTAAACACAGAGGTTGGAGAAAACCAGAGAGCAGGGATGCAAACGCCATTTCTTATCATGGACAGAGGTATCACGAGAGTCATGTGATATTTGGTTTAGCAGGAGAGTGCCTATTACTAGAGTATTACCAACGTTTAGATTGGAAATACTCAACTCTAAGAACTCTGATGTGACAAAGGCATAATTTGTAGCCATATTTGCTTTTATTCTGGTCCATGGTCTGATTGCATTGAAAACACAGCAGTCAGATCAAAAGCATTCCTCTCAAATGGGAAACCTACGTAAAGCATCCTTCTTCATGATTTGTGATCCATGGGCAAGTGCATGTAAGAAATTCTCCAGGTTCCAAGAGTTGAGGAGGGAAAAGGTCACAGGAATTTAACAATGACTGAGTCACTAAACTTGACATTTCAGCATTTAGGAAACACAGTTTTCATCTGTCCATCTATTCATCCATTCTTTAAGCCATTACTAAGCACTGTTGAGTATGAAGCACTGTGCTAACATCCAGGTAACACAGTGGCTGGTATCCCTTCCTTAATCAGGATATAAATAATCTTGTAACTTTGAGGTCAACTTTTGAGAACATAATTCTCATGAGGGCTAGAACTTTTTTTTTCTCATATTTTTGTATTTTGTATTTTTATTTTTTTGTAGAGAAGAGGTTGCCCAAGATGGTGTCAAACTCCTGGCCTCAAGTAATCCTCCCCCTCGGCCTCCCAGAGTGCTAGGATTATAGGCATGAGCCACTGCACCTAGCCATGGATAGTACTTAATGTTGTAAAATAGCAAAGTTAAGATAAAAGCAGAAGAAAATCAGTTTAAAACATGATTGCATTTCAGGATTTCAGTTGTTTTCTTCTGGGATGCCACTATATCTATTAAAGCACCAGTCTTGTTAGTGCATTTACCATTTTATAATCAGATATATTTAAGTCAGGGTCACGCAAGGTGGGTAAAAATATCTAATTACTGACCTGTCAGAAACATAATCCCTAACCATGGAGTTTTACTTTATTATATACATTTTCTAAGCAAAAATTATTCATTTTTTCCTGTTTTTCATAGACTGTAAGATGCCAATGGGACTAAGCACTGGTATCATATCTGATTCACAGATCAAGGCTTCAGAATTTCTGGGTAAGTTGTAGCACCATGGTCTGTGAATGGAACCTCCTACAATTGTGCAGCATGCAGCCTATGAAACCATACATGACAACCTATCTATGAATCAGTTCTTCTCTTTATGCTTTTCTCTACTACAATATAGTGATGCAGCTCCATTTGGGGTACACATATGGTAAAGGAAGGAACACTGTGACAGGACCTAAAGGCCTGTTAGCGTGCTCTTAACACTGCCACCCCTTCTGGTGTATAATGTTCCCAAAGAGTCTTTTCCAGGAGAAACCGAGAGCTGGGGGTCATTGAGTTCTCTACATAAAGAGCCCAGCCTCTCTGCAGGGATTTGGCAAGGATCAGATAGCTTACTCTTATAACCACGTGCCCATTTCCAAACTCTCCTCAGTCACCTTTTCTGGGTTTGACCACACATGTAGTATTTCAGCCAGATTCACAGGGTCTCATCAGCTAAGCATTATAGTCCTCATTAATATGGCCCTTTGCCTGTGGCAACCATTCATCTATTCAGAAAACTTTGTTGAACCTCCACTATGTGGCAGGAACTCCTCCAAAGTTTTCTCACACTGCCTGTAAGCCCTTTCCGAGATCAAGAGGTCATGATCAAGAGGATGATCAGGCTCCCATATACCCCTTCCATGTCTTCCTGTTAGGCAGGCACATTCAGCATTAGGAACGTCAACATAACAGAAAAAAAAACCAGACATGACCTGTGTGCAAGAAAGGGGATAGGTGGTGGTTGGCAGCTGACCAAACATAGACCCGAAGCCCAGATTTCATCATCAAGGACTGACTTAGTAGCTGAGGCCCATGCCTAGACTTCTGACTACAACACAGGTCCTGCAAGGATCTGGTTTTCCAGTGGATTAAACTCACTTGAGAAATTGCTGAGTTTTGAAAAAATTCAGAATAAATATTTTTCTTCCCTTGAGTTTAGGTTACTGGGAGCCCAGATTAGCAAGACTAAACAATGGTGGATCTTATAATGCTTGGAGTGTAGAAAAACTTGCAGCAGAATTGGCCTCTAAACCTTGGATCCAGGTTTGTTTAATAGACTGATAATATTTACTGCTATTGTAATAATAAAAATGAAAGTGATTTAGTAATTCCTTCTTGTTATTTTTCTTGCAATGTTGTTAGGGGAAATAGCAAGTACTAAGTGCGAGGCACCGTTCTAAGTACTTTATGTCCTTAAAATCAACCCTCTGAGGTTGGTTCTAATAATATCTTGTTTTATAGATTAAAAAACAAAAGGCACAGAGATACTAAGTGCCTTCCCAAAGTAACTCATAGCTAATTAGTCATTGAGTTGGGATTCAAACCTAGGTACTCTGTGCACAAATATGGATTACATGTACTCATTGTATCAGTTTGCTAAGATCTTATGTGCTAGCTCTTTCGTTCTGGAGAAAGCTGATTGTATAATGAATTTAGGCAGTGTGTGACTTGTTGACAAGGACAGTTCTTTTTACTGGCTTTCCTATATTGCAGGTGGACATGCAAAAGGAAGTCGTAATCACAGGGATCCAGACCCAAGGTGCCAAACACTACCTGAAGTCCTGCTATACCACAGAGTTCTATGTAGCTTACAGTTCCAACCAGATCAACTGGCAGATCTTCAAAGGGAACAGCACAAGGAATGTGATGGTTTGTGTGCCTATGTCTATCTGAATCTCTAGACTCAGTCTAGGAGTATTATGACTATGCCTAATGATTATGTATTTTAAAAAATACCTTTCTGGGTATTACAAATGTGAATGGCTTTCTAAGGGTCATATGGAGAAAAGCAGTAATATGATGGGTATGTGTCTTACAAATTAAAGAGAGAAGCAGGGTTACTGAAACTTCAAAACCCCACAAAACTTTAAAAAACCATTTTATCATCAAATAAAATACCCAGATTTCTCAGACTGGCCGATGGTGTATGGCAGAGTAGAATATCTGGTCTTGTGTCTCGAGGAGCTCATGCTAAAAAGTGGCTACCAACACTTTTGATTTTACTATTGCAGTTTGTTTTGTTCTTTATTTCAGTGTACCTGAAGTAAATCATAGTGTTAATGCTAGTAAGCCTCTGAGGCAGTGTGATTCTCAGACTTTTTGGGGGGCCACGCCTGAAGAATGGCATCCTCCTTCTTGCTCTTCCAGGGGCTCAGCCAGAAGCCCTAACTCTTCTCCCCGTCTCTATTCCTTTCCCCAAAGAAACCTACCTGAATGCAAGGAGTCTGCCTGCCATTATTATACCGATAATCTCGAGTCTGTTTCTGCTCATATTTTATATAAAATTGTTTACTGTTTATTAGTTACCTATTTTTAATAATTATTTATAATATATCTCAGCACCATTGAAATCCTAAATTATGGTTCTTACTAATGAGTATTATGAGAGAAAACACAGATTGCAGTTGAGTCCATAGCATAAAGATTTTGTCATCTATATTCATGAGAGGATATTGGTATGTAGTTTTATTTTTTTAATTGTCTTTTGATACCACAGTTATACTAGCTTCATAAAATTGGTAAGCATGCTCTTCTATTCTATATTCTGGCTTCATAAAATTGGTAAGCTTGTCTTTTCTACATTCTAGGAGAAAATGTCTGCAGTTGGTATTAATTCTTTAAATATTTGGTAGGAATCACCAGTGAAACCATCTGGGCCTGCAGATTTCTTTTTGGGCAGTTTTTAAGTTATGAATTCTATGTTCTAAATAGTTACAGGGCTATTCAAATTATCTATGTCATATTAGGTGAATTGAAATACTTTGTATATTTCAATTAATTGGTCAATTCCCTCTGTGTTGTTAAGTTTATGTGTGTAGAGTTGTTTGTATATTCCCTTATCCTTTTTCATGTTTGTAGTGATTTTGCCTGTTTCATCTCTGATATTGTCAACTGCATCTCCTTTCTTTTTTTTTTTTTTTTTGTGAATCTTGCTAGAGATTTGTCGATTTAAAAAAAATCTTCTTGGCCAGGTGCAGTGGCTCACGCCTGTAATCCCAGCACTTTGGGAGGCTGAGGCAGGCAGATCACGAGGTCAAGCGATCAAGATCATTCTGACCAACATGGTGAAACCCTCTACTAAAAATATTTTAAAACATTAGGCATGGTGTCACACAACTGTAATCCCAGCTACTTGGGAGGCTGAAGCAGAAGTATTGCTTGAATCTGGTAGGCAGAGGTTGCAGTGAGCCAAGATCTCACCACTGCACTCCAGCCTGGTGGCAGAGTGAGACTCTGTCTCAAAAAAAAAAAATCTTCTCAGCCCTGTTTTGTTGATTTTTCTCTATTGTTTTTCTGTTTTCAATATTACCAATACCTGCTCCAATCTTCTGTTTTAAAAAGTTGGCTTTTTCCGACATTGCTCTGTCAGGAAAAGGGATAGGGCACAGCCTGGTTACTGCCAAGTGGGGGTCAAAGTCCAGTTTCCCCACTCCACTGCCACCTAAGAAGGGATTGTTCCTTGGTGACTGGGTGGGAACAGGAGTTCCCCATTTGGCTTCCGCTGATACTCAGGGGCAGGAGCTTTATTAGGGGCTGGAGATGAATGCCCTAAATCCTTACATGGTCTTTTCTGACACAACCCCAGTAAGAGTGTTGGGGTGCCTCTTTAGCCTCATGAGCATGGAAGTCTAGGCTTCCCATTCAGCCTTTGCTGTTGTGGGTTGGGGAGGGGCCTCAGGTTTTTCTGTGGTGTTTGGCTAAAGGAGAGAAGTCAGTATCCACAAGTTTTCTATTATATCTTGCTAGGCTTCCCTTTACTGGTACTTTGGTTAGAGAAAGCAGATTTTATTTGGGCTTTTTCAGTCTGTACTCATTGGTGTTTCTAGGTTCCCGGTTTCTTCATCTCTAAGTCTGGGATGTATGAGGTAAAAAGAAAATTCAGGACACTCACCACCATTTTGTTCCTTCCAAGAACCCTAGTCAGTCTGTCTTCTGAGGTCTTTTCCCCTTCTTAGGTTTCTCTTAGCTATAATGTCCAAAGTTTTTAGTTGTACTTACCAGGAGTAATAGGGCAAAGTACATATATACAATATTCCTGGAAGTGGAATTATCCCCATGTATATTTTATAACCAAATGGATTTAGTTCAGGCCCCATGAAAATGTAGTATTACAATATTAAATTAGATCAAAATTTTATTATAAAGTCACTTTATAGATCACTGTTACATAACTAAACTTTTCTCTTTTCTTCTAGTATTTTAATGGCAATTCAGATGCCTCTACAATAAAAGAGAATCAGTTTGACCCACCTATTGTGGCTAGATATATTAGGATCTCTCCAACCCGAGCCTATAACAGACCTACCCTTCGATTGGAGTTGCAAGGTTGTGAGGTAAATGGTAAGGTACAAAGATGCATTATTTTCTCACTGTCACACAAAGAATCAAGATTTGGGAGGTATAGGAGATTGAGTAAAATTTTCAGTTCTCTTCAGTGATTTAGGCTCCTAGGAAAACCTTTATGAAACAGAGATTCTACTCAGGTAAACTCTCGGTGTGATCTAGACCAAGAATGGTTCTGCCAATCAGAGGGCCAACAGTATCTCTCTGAAGAAAGTGCCTGGATTATATAGACACATCACAACTCTCCAAGGAAGGGCTCTAATTTGGAATTATCTCCATCAGCCCATTTTCAATAAGACCTACCTGAGATTCAAACCAGGCCTGACTCTTCCAAAGTCCTCCAGGTCACTCAGACTTCAAAGTCATGACAGCATCTGGCAACATCACTGCCATATATGTGGTGTTCAGTGAGTGTTTTTGAAATCTGAATCGGCTTCCCAACTTCCTGAAACCACGATTCGTCTTTATATTTTCTTTAATACCCTATGTAGGTACTCAAGTCTTTTCTATGTTAGCTGCTATTTCTTAGGGGCTATAATGTGACCTGTGGTATAAATAAATCCAGGTAATCATAAATAGTCATATTAAAATTCTGCTATATGTAACAAGGATGTTTAAGAGTCTTCACTGTTCTTCTTGGATTCTTCAAGCAGTGCTTTCCAATATTTTTTACTTCAAACCACACAAAGAAAATAATATCTGCCTGGCATTCTGAGGTAAAAGAATGAAGTAATAATTCCAAGGCTTGACTGATCCAGGCCCCACTTGGCTGTTCAAGGGCTGGAGGTGGGAAGAGGGATAAATAAATCGGCACACTAGAAACCTGCTGTGGCACACCTGTCAGGAGTTGCAGTACTTCCCTTTGGGTGGAGAGAAGAAGCCATGATTTACACTAGAGAAAGTAGCTGAACCCTGGAATCAGTTTTTTATTGAAGCAGATAATGGCACAGTATACCCTTGGATGGATAAGGGTATTTTGCCAATGTCCAGATAGCAGTAGTCTATAACATCTCCCAAATAAAACACAAATCTTGTATCAGCAGGACCACCCCTTGAAACAGTTCCATAAGTCATTGTTTTTTTTCTTTCCATATGGCATAAATAGATTTGTTCAGATCCTAATAAACTACCCTAAAATGTGACATTCAACTCAGCTGATTTATTTAAAATATCTATTTTTTTATACAAGAAGCATTATTTTCTTCTTATTCATTTTCTTGATACTTAGGTAATTATTAGCAGTGAGTATTATTTTTAGGGCTCTTTTTTTTTTTTCATGGAGTAAGTAAGGCATCACTTCAAGAAAATTTCTGCATGATTTACCAACAAGAACAAGGTATCACAGAGATGATGGGCAGTCAGCCAGGTTCACTCACTAGCTGTGTTTCTTACAGTCACAGGTCTGCCTTGTTGCCTATGACATTCAAATTACACCTTGGAAAAATTCCAAAGAGTACATAACTTGAATTACCCTCTAAGGGTTGAAACAGAAAATATTAAATAGTGACTGAGGGTCCATTGTATCTTCTTTGTAGCTTTTGTTAAAAGAAACAGAGTGTTTTTATATATAGATAGTTTAGGATTATTGTCACCTCAAAGCAAAGACCAAAGTTTCCATGCTCTCAGAAGGAGGAAATGAGTTTAAATGTTTAGAACATGGTATTTGGTATCAGATTGAGCTTAATTCAGTTTCTGATTCTTCTGGCTGTGTTACCTTAGACAAATTACTGTGTTTTGCTGTACTAAAATGGAGATATTTATGAGCATTAAATAATACATGTAAATCCTGAGAACAGTATTTGGCACTTGGATTCAATGAATCTTCATTTTTGTGATTATTGTTTTTGTCATTCATTGGTAGTAATATTATTTGTTATCTCCTCTGCAGTGCAAAATGCCATGCAGGGAATATTGGTGTATAATTAATCACATTACTTTTCTTTTGATAGGATGTTCCACACCACTGGGTATGGAAAATGGAAAGATAGGAAACAAGCAAATCACAGCTTCTTCGTTTAAAAAATCTTGGTGGGGAGATTACTGGGAACCCTTCCGTGCCCGTCTGAATGCCCAGGGACGTGTGAATGCCTGGCAAGCCAAGGTGAAGTATACTGTATGCATGGTGTTCTCTTAGCACTCCAGAAGAATGCAAAGGCCCTCACTACCACGAACATGAGGATCTTGGAAGCAGGAGTATTTTAATCTGTTTCTGCAGATTAAAATCCTAGGTCCAAGAGTCTAGGATGTCTGTGGACTTGATAGCTTCGACTATAACTCTGGCTCAGAGAGAAGTCATTTATCATCTCTGTGGGTTTTGGTCTAGTCTTGATTTAAACCAATAATAAACAAATTTATTTTGCTGCAAAGGGATAGATAGTAAATATTTTAGTCTTTGTGGGCCATACATTCTCTGCCATAACTACTCAACTCTGCCATTGTAGCAGGAAAGTAGCCATAAACAACATGTAAATGAATGAGCTGGCTGTGTTCTAATAAAACTTTGTTTACAAAAAAACAGGCAGTAGGCCAAATTTGGCCCATGGATCATAGTTTGCCAGCTCCTCATTTAGACAGCTTACATTAGTGATAAACAAATGATTTATATTTGCAACATCATCTCTTATTTTCTCTTTACAATTTAGCAATATGTTTTCATTGTCTTAAATGAAATATCATTTAAACTTTTTTATTCTCTTCCCCACCCTCCTTATTTTAAGAGCTTTGTGATATTTATTGAGACAACTAGAAGCATAGTAAAATGTTGCAAAACCAGAGTTATAAAATTAGTGATCTAAGTTAAACAAACACCTTCCAGAGAGTTATACTACCCCTGATATTAGCCCACTGAATAATTCAGGTGATTTAATTTGGGGGTAACTCTTAGTAGTTGACTCATTTTTATTAATTCTTTAAATGACCTGAGATATCAGAATGGCATGGATTACTTGATGATCCCTTCAGCCGACTAAATCCAAATTCCCTACTTTCTACCCTCATATCTCCCTCCCTTAAGATACCTACACTCCAATTTCCTGACTTTCTATAGAATTCCAGGACCTATCCTTAAATTAGGCCACCAGAAAGGAAAAAAGAATTGTGGTGCTAGTGGGGTAAATAGAAAAGATTGGATTCCACACAGTCTTGGGAACTGATATCTGTGTCTTGAAACTCATTCTGGAATCACGGAATCACAGAATGTTACAATAGCAAGGAGCAAAGCATCTGGTCTAGATTTTTCCTTTTAAATCTAAACACACAGGAGATTAAATAATTTTAGCTTAGTTTGGTAGCAGAATCAGGACTAGAATCCCATTCTCCCAGTAAACAGGCCATGCGCCTTCCACCATTTGTAGCAGCCCAAATACCTCGTTTTGCAATTTTGTAGAGGGCAAAGCTGATACCCAGAGAAGTTAAAATAATAAAAATAGTGTTATATTACATTATATTTGTATAATTTACATAGCAATATAAATAATAAAGAGATGTTATCCAGTTCTTTTTCAGATGACTCTTTAGACTTGTTCATGGTTTAACCTCGTCACCCCATACTTCATTTTACAATCTTTTAAAAACATTTGCACTCTCTATAATTTGCTCTTAGTCTTTGTAATATAACAAAGGCCTCAAAGATAAAATGCTAATTTTTAATGCTGTTATTTCAAAGTTAGAATTCGGGATCAGAAATACGTGTTTTACTTAAACCCCTTCCACTCACGTGAAATGTCTTTATATGGTCTCTTTGGAGAGGTTGAAAATCAAAGCTGGACATACGCAGGGATGCACACAGATGCTGTTCTCTCCATAGCTAAAATGTCTCTACCTCTTTTATGCCTGTGAAAACTTCCAGCTGGTTATACTGTCTATCACTGGTACAACCTTGATTTGAAGACACACTAAAATATCACCCAGATGTCGCTAGAGGATGTTATAGACTTAAAAGTTTTCTCATATAATCATTCTAATTCAGTTAATTTGATTTTAAAATACATATAGAATGTGCATTTTTGTATATACACATACACATATATATACACATACACTTAAGTATGTGTGGGTGATGTTGAAGAAACATATCAATATTATTTCCTTTATAATTGAATGAGGCTATGGTAGATGACAAATCTCCCAAAGGTAAAAATTTATCTCAGATTACTCTAAAACTCAGTTTAGACCTTTTGATCTTTCTCCAAACGCATATCACCAACCATGTGATTAGGCATTTTGTTAGGCCGGAGACAGGACAATAACTGTACTGTGTATCAAGCTCTACTTATTGTTTTATCAGGTCTCTCAAATATTACATTTATTTGAAATATCAGAAGAAATTGAACTGTTTCTGCTATTTGACATTAACAGGGGAAAAGAGAAGTTGGGTTTTGTAAAATAGGTGAAATAGAGAGAGGATGCTATCCAATTATTTCCCAGATAACCCTGTAGCAATATTACCAGAGTATTTGAATAAATTTGCTTAAGAAAATAATATTTACAGATAACTTAGAAATTTAATAATTTTTCCAAATAAAACTCATGTATTCATTCATTTATTCAACAACTGTTTATTGAACACCAACTGGGTATCTTAACATTGTGGTGAGTAACAGGAAACAAAATTAAATAAGCCTCTACCCTCAAGCAGTAAGGAATACTAAGAAGGAAACAATTATAGTACAATATGTGAAATACTTCAATAGAAATTTATACACATATTGTGGCAACAAAGAAGAAAGAGGGAAAGCTTCTAGGAGACAGTGAATCCTAAGGGATAAGATAGAACAAAATCCTTTTGAGCTCTGTGCTTTTTTGCATATCTTGGTCTAAAAAAAAAAGCAAAGGTTTTAACATCTTCCTTATTTATGTGTTTTTGTCATTTTCATAGGCAAACAACAACAAGCAGTGGCTAGAAATTGATCTACTCAAGATCAAGAAGATAACAGCAATTACAACACAGGGCTGCAAGTCTCTGTCCTCTGAAATGTATGTAAAGAGCTATACCATCCACTACAGTGACCAGGGAGTGGAATGGAAACCATACAGGCTGAAATCCTCCATGGTGGACAAGGTAGAGTGGCATCTGACATGTACCACCTCTTTAAGTCTTCTGAATCTTAGTTCTTCAGGTGCCTGTTGTCAGACAAACTCCTGGTTGTCTGTTTTGGTTTGTTTTATTTCTCACTACACCAGGTTGCCCCCATAGGAGGATAAATATCATTGTCATAAAAAAATAGAGATTTCATTTCTGGTATATGTAAACCTTGGAGAACTTGCTGATGATGGAGGAGGAGAAATTATACAATTTAGTTGAGGATATAAGGTACATGCCAACAAGGATAAATAAATTAAAATGCCTGGTGAAATTTTAAATGTTGGCAATAGTTAACCATTTATTGGTGGCCACTTCTTGGCACTTACTATGCACTTACTTTTACATACATTTTTAAATCTTTGCAATGATTTCTGTGAGGTGAAATTTTATTATCCTTACTCTGCCGATGAGGAAATGAAGAATCAGAGAATAAGTAACTTGTTCAGTCATACAGCTAATACAAAGGGGCTGAAGGCAGAAATGGTTTTGCAGCTGCTCCACAGCACCATGTGAGACTTGTTGATTTTTCCCCAATTTAACTCAGATCACTGGTGAGATGAAATCTATGTGGCATGTGATTTCATAACTGATGGAGGATTATCTCTGTGATAGTGTTCTATGTGTTCTTTGATATGCTCATTTTGAGCTAATAGGATAAAAAATTATCTGGGTTGGGCGTGATGGCTCATGCCTGCAATGCCAACACTTTGGAAGGCTGAGGAGAGAGGATTACTTGAGCCCAGGAGTTCAAGGCTGCAGTGAGCCATGATTGTGTGAGCCATGATTGTGCCACTGGACTCAAGCCTGCGCAACAGAATAAGACCTTGTCTAAAAAAAACCAAACTTATCTGTAAGATTTTTGTTTCCATTTATGCTGTCATTAAAGATTTTCTCTTATTTTGCTTTCAGATTTTTGAAGGAAATACTAATACCAAAGGACATGTGAAGAACTTTTTCAACCCCCCAATCATTTCCAGGTTTATCCGTGTCATTCCTAAAACATGGAATCAAAGTATTGCACTTCGCCTGGAACTCTTTGGCTGTGATGTTTACTAGAACTGAATATTCAAAAACCCCTGGAAGAGGGTCTTTAAGACCTCAAACCATTTAGAATGGGCAATGTATTTACACTGTGTTAAATGTTAACAGTTTTCCACTATTTCTCTTTTTTTCTATTAGTGAATAAAATTTTATACAAGAAGGTTTTATAATGTGTCTCCTTGCTACCAGTAAGATAATGGCTATTAGTTCTGCATTAATTTGAATACAGATAGGAAAATATCAAGAACCAACAAGAAAAGGGCTTATCTTTCTTAGTTATTAAAAATGCTATGAAGTAATATTTATATGGTTAAAATGCTTCATTATAACTCTTTTAAATCCTATACACATTAATAAAACAGATATTACTTTAAATAATAATTGATAGACCTAGATAACTTTCATTTCTACATTTTTCTTTAACTATGATTTAACAGCAAAGGAAACAAAGACATGATTTTTTAATGGTTTTTCTTGACAGTGAAGAGAAAAACAATATTATCAAATGAAATAGGCACTTAAAATATCCTGTCTTTCCTATATAACAATGCTTTTTTCTGACTTTCCATGAGGAAAGAAATAGCCAAGCATGTTTCCAGTAGCCCCATTGAAATTGTGAATCTGTCCTATACTCCCTAGGGACTGCACCCATTGATATTCAAGGTTGGTGGTCATTATATATGGAGCAGAACTAAAATAACCATGGTAGAACTGAATGTGTAATGTTGGCTTTATTCTAGCTGGTACGACATGGTACACAGTTTCAAAACATAAGTTCACCTACGGGAAAGCTCAGACCGGTAAAACAGAGCATGGGAACTGCTGGTCTAAACGCAGTTGTTCCTGCTGGAACAGACCTCTGGTCAAACTGGCAAGCAGTTAACATTTTCTTTCAGGGCCCTCCTCTCTATGGCCTCAACTTCCTCCTCTCTCTTCCAGCAACTTCCCCTTTCATCATTCCTTTCCCTGGGGACTTGGCATTCAGTGATCCTGTAGATATTGCACAACTGGGGAACCTTTAGACATCCTTAAAGTCACATGAGATAGACAGTCATTGATGAGGCTGTCTGAAATAAAACACCCCAAAACTTAGTGTTAAAACAGCAACCAAAAAAAATTTATGTGAGATTATGGATATGTTACTTAGCTTGATTTAGTCATCCCATAACGTGTACGTATATAAAAATGTTATGTATACCATAAACATATACAATTTTATCAATGGAATTCATAACAATCTCTCAGACCACAGTGCAATCAAATTAGAATTTAGGATTAAGAAACTCACTCAAAACCACACAACTACATAGAAACTGAAAAACCTGCTCCTGAATGACTTCTGGGTAAATAATGAAATTAAGGCAGAAATAAATAAGTTCTGTAAAACCAATGAGAACAAAGAGACAATGTACCAGAATCTCTGGGACACAGGGCTTCACTTTTGCTGCATTCTATTTATTGTGAACATGAATTATAGGCCAGTCTAGATTCAGCGTAGAAGGGAACTGCATAAGGACCACATACCAGGAGGCATAATTCACTGGGAGCATCTTTAGAAACTACCAATTGCCTGTTGCACATACCAGTGGGGTAAGCCCTATGAATATATATGAGAGTTTCAAACATCCACAAAACATTGGCTTTCTAATACTTGTATTCCCACTATTCCTTTCTTTTCATGATTCATGTCATTGTCTAATCAATATTGCTAAGATTTCCATTCTGTTAAGAGGAAAATAGAATGTTGGAAGGTAGGGGAAACATTTCTTTGTTGTCTACAGGGCCAGCCTCATGGATGTGTGTGATCTGTTCGGTTGCAAAGGGTTTCATGCTCAGAAGGACCACATGCTTAATTAATGCTTTGCAGTTACCCTCTTGAAATTCTTTATTTTTTAAGAAGGAATTCAACATTTCCATTTTGCAATGAGCCCCACAAATTACACAGCTAGTCCTGGGCTTCTCTACTGTGAAATTGGGCAGGATCTCTCTTTATCTAGAATTTACCAAGGTATAATAGGGACAAGAAAATCATATGAAATAATGGGGGGTAGGCAAGAGATGAGAATGGAGCATGAGATCCAGCTTCGTTATCCTCTACTTGAGAAAAATAAGGCCCCAAAGATTAAGCAAGTTACCCAAGGATATTGCTTGTTAGTGTCAGAACTGAAACCAGAAACCAAATGATCATACCCCTAGCCTTTTAGTCTGGTTTCTCTTCCATAAAATGAAAATTATAAAGTTTCTAATCCATTGCTCAGACAGATAGACATGAATATTAATTGATCTGGAAAATACTTGTTTGGGGATCAATAATATCTTTGCTTGGGGCTATTATCTGATGCTGTGTAGAAACATTAAAACCCCTCTTATTTTGAAACGAAAAAGAATTTTCACTTTTTATTTCTCTCTCCAAAGTCACTTAGATGAAATTACAACTTTGGCTACATAGTACACCTTCAGTGACATAATCCACTGTTTGTTATAACTGGGTGCTATGGAAAGAAGTTAAATGACTCATGGTAGAATCATGACTTAAGAGAAACCAGCAAATAAAATTCTAAACATTATTAGTCATTCTAATTGCAAGTTGGAAAAGAACAGCTGTGAATGTATCAAAAATATGAAGGGACTAGAAGAAACATGAAATTATTTCTCCAGAATTCTTTCAAGTTATTAAAATAAATAACAAAGTTCACGCCATTTTTATAATCATTTTGAATAAACATCATATTTTGAGTTCAGGGCCATTTTGGCAAACCTAGGGAAAAGCTCTTACCAAATAGCTTGGATGTTCCCAAGAGCTATGAATATTTCACCATTTACTTCTCTGGACAGACCAGGAAGGAACAATTCACTAGGCAGTGAATTTTGGTTTTACGAAATACTGGTATATGCCCTAATGCAGTGGGCCTAACACATAGTTAAAAATATCTGATAGTTCCATGTTAGCATTTTTCTTATTTTTTTTCCCTAATGGAGAAGTATTTTATGGAAAATTCTCCCAAGTTCATATATTCTCATAGCCTACAGATAGGGAAAGCTGTGGACAAAGACAAAATGATTATGCGTGGAATGATATTTACACAGTCAATGCCCAGATAACAAAGTTTTTCATATCCAAGTACTTAAATTGTTGGGAGAGACTACAGACCTTTAAGATTTTATTATCTCTGACTTGTATGTAATGTCCCCACCAAAACATATACATGTATTTTGTATTTGGTATAAGTAAAGAAAACTTGATATTAATCTCTCTACATGTACCATCATTTCAATTTTTAAAAAAGTATTAAGCTCATTCTATCTACACAACAAACCACTATGACAGGCATTGTAGGGGAGAGTATATAAAGGAAATAAAAGACACTTCTCCGGCTTATTCAAATACATCATCTAGTTGCATAGAGAAGACAAACATAAGAAGTAAATAGAGACTATGAGCCTATTAAGCCTAACAGATTACACCCTGAGTAATAAAGAAAAAGACAATTAGATGAGTAGCCTTAATGGGATGGAATCAGACTGTGAAAACTTTTGGAGATGATTTAACCTGGATGATTTGATATTAGATGTGTATGAAGACAACCTGTGCAGAATTCCAAAGAAGAGAGGACTGGGATAAGGATCAGTAAAAACCAGGATGAATAAGAGCTTTATGCTCAAATTCAGGACCCGGTTAAGCTTTCTCTGACATACCTACTCATTTTCCCTACCCTCTCTATACAGCCTAATAATGACTTATCCACCTCCCTCCATCTTCTGTACCATGCCCATAAATCCAGTGTATGTGCAAGGTCAAAAGAAATAAGAGTTACCTGGGTAGAACTGATGACCTGAGGGTGGGGAAAGAGACAAAAAAAGATACAATATATATCCCTAATCTCCAAATTGTGAATTACAGATGGTAGTGACCAGATTAAAAGTGAGTCACCTTTGGAAATGCTATTGAAGACGCCCATGAGGAACAGGATTCTGACTTGCTTAGGGTGATAGGAGAATGACACTGGAGGGGGGAGAAGATGGGTAAAAGTCTGTTGTATATGAGAAATTGACTAATGGAGAGATGAGACGATCATTGAGGATGTTTGGACAATTACAAGAGTTTAAAGTTCTTATGCAATGGTTTTATTTTTACCAGTGGTCCACATCTAAACCACCTCCAATTCGTCTGTACTTTCATGTTTTACACTTAGAAGAAGCTTCTCAATGTCTTAGGAATGATGTGCAGTTAATATCACACCCCACCTGCTTTTTATTGCCAGGAAATTTGGTAACGGCTTTACCATTTTAGTTATCTCCACCTTGTATTGAAGTTCCTTCCTGCTGATTACAAAGGCTTTCTGAAAGTCTGGAATGTGGCAACCTTGTTTACAGATATGACAAGTAAAAATGTTTAAAAAGCTTTTCTTTTATGAATAGTCTGGGAGAAATAGTGACAAAGTCTATAATTCTATGATTAGAATAGTATTGGCATATAGTAAGCATTGTATCAGTATTTATTAGCATTATAATGAAAATATGATATGTTATGAATATAATGGTATTAATTACTAATATTAATTTCTACTATTCTTTAACATTTTTTAATACTGCTCATTACTTTTATAGAAATTGTGGTAAAATACACATAAAAGTTACTCTTTAAGTGTACAATTCAGCAGCATTAAGTACAGTCTTATTGTTGTGCAGCCATCACCACCATCTACTTCTCATTACGTCTTTTTTTTTTTTTTTTTTTTTTTTTGAGATGGACTCTCGGTCTATTGCCCAGGCTGGAGTGCAGTGGTGCGATCTCAGCTCACTGCAAGCTCTGGCTCCCAGGTTGATGCCATTCACCTGCCACAGCCTCCTGAGTAGCTGGGACTACAGGTGCCTGCCACTACGCCTGGCTAATTTTTTTTTTTTTTTTGTATTTTTAGTAGAGACGGGGTTTCACTGTGTTAGCCAGAATGTTCTCAATCTCCTGACCTCGTGAACCACCCGCCTCAGCTTCCCAAAGTGCTGGGATTACAGGTGTGAGCCACCACGCCCAGCCTGCTCATTACTTTTTATTGCAGCTCTGTTTTCTACCCATACTTGATGCTCTTCCCAGTAGATGGCATGTCTGGTTCAACCGTACTTAGCCAGAGTTCTGAAGACATTCACATAGAGGTCAAGTTTTAATT